AACACCATTAGGAGTCATATCTACCTCCAATAAAATCGCCATACATTAAGAGTCTTTTTCTAGGTCATGACATCAAATTTTTTATATCTTGCCATTTATTTGAGTAAAAATATGTCATTCTTCAAAGTCTTTGTCCCTATTATGTTGTCTTAAAGGTTGTGATAATCACAATGTCTTGTTTGGTAAGTTGACAAATGATGGCTCTTAAGTTGAATCCACCAACTATTAGTTCTCTATTTCCTTAATGCCATAATTATACAAAAACTACAAACAAGGATAGAAGGTAGAATGCAATCTTTCCTAAATTGTGTTTTTTTTATGGCAAAATTTTGCTATCCTTCATCTTTGTTTTAATAGATGTCATTGATGAAAAGCCTCCACTGTCTTTGTTGCATTTTCAAGATTCTTTGCTAGCTCCTATGTGTGTTCACTAATATCATATTCATGCTTATGGACAAGATATTCCAACTTATTTTAGTATCGCCTTGAGTTTATAACTTCTTCCAGTTTAAACTCTTATTATTGTCCACTTCTATAGGAGAAAGTAGAACTTGTTTTTTTTTTGGTATATTTGTAATCTTGTATAGTTCAAGCAGGGACACATGGAAGATAGGATGGATCTTCATTGACTTCAATAGATGTAATTGATAAGCAATTAGATTCATTTGTTCAAAAATAGGAAAAGGTCGAAGCTTGCATTAGTCCAATTTATTATAAAGACAAAAGTCTTGATATTACAATGAAGTAACCATATCTTCTCACCTACATTGAATTATGGTTGTTCTTTTCAATAGACATCTACGTTGATTTTTTATCATTCTTGAGCTTCTTTTAATTATATCTTAATTGTTTCATGTAGCTTTCACAAGCAATATGCCAAATCTTCTATCAAAGGATTATCAATTTTTGAAAAGTCAAAAATATGAAGTCGTAGATGATAACCATTATTAACAAAAAAAGATGTTTGTTACATAAAAGAATGTATCATATTATTATAAGTAAATTTTGCTAATGGCAAGAAGATTATCCAATCATTTTGTTAATAATTGATGTTACACCGTAAGTATTGTTCCAAAACTTGGTTGACACTCTCTATTTGTCGATCAATTTGAAGATAAAAGGTCAAAAAAAGCATTTTTGAAAAGAATCCACATCTGCTAGAAGTTATTTATTGTAGATTTTATAATTAATCTTGGCTGCTATGAATTTCTTGGAATAAAAAGCTACTAGATGGAGCTTGTCATCTTTTCTTATTTGTGACAAAATAACATCTATAGCAAAATTTGATGTGTTGACGTGATATAAGATTAGTCCAAAAATAAATGCCAATTTCAAGGCTTTAAAAGATGCTTCAGCTTCTTTGCTCCGATCAAGTGTTTTTTTGCATGTAAGACGTGTAGGATGAGCTGCAACTTGAGAAAAATTCTTGATGAAGATTCAATAGTAATTGACAAAGTCCAAAAAGTATTGCAAATCTTTTATTGTTCTTAGAATCTTTCAATCTATAATAGTTTGAACATTCTTTGGATCTATTATAAGTCCTTCATTGGAAATGATATATCTTATGAAGTCAATTTGAATAATATGGAATACACACTTTTTCAACTTAGCATACAATCTTGCATCTTTAAGTTTTTGTAACATACAACAAACATAAACTTCATGCTTATATGTATTCTTAAAATAGATTAAAATATTATTTAAGTAACAAATAATAAAATTATCTAGAAACTCACAAAAAATATCATTCATGAGATGTTGAAAAGCAGTTGGTACATTTGTGAGTCTAAAAGGGATGATATTATATTCAAAGTGTCCATACCTTGTTTGAAATGTAGTCTTCCATTCATCTCCATCTTTAATGTGGACCAAGTTGTATGCTCTTTGTAGATCTATTTTTGTATAGATCTTAGCTTAATTTAATTGATCAAAAAGTCTAAATATTAAGGATAAATGATATCTATTATTGATGGTAATCTTGTTGAGTCCTCGATAATCTATGCATATTTGTAATGATTCATCTTTTTTCTTTATAAATAAGATAGGAGCTCCTGTAGGAGATTTTGAATGGTGTATGAAATTCTTAGCCAAGTTCTTTTTAATGTATTTATTGACTTCAACCAACTCATTTTGTAATAAATTATAGGTTGGACGAAATGGTGGCTAACTTCTCTCTTTAAGGTCACTTTAGTAATCATAGGGAGCTCGAAGAGAATATCTGCATTTTTTTTTTCATAAACATCTTGAAATCTTCATATTAATTTGGAATGCTACTTGAAGTCTTTTCATCATTAAAAATAGGTATAGCATAAATAATAAAAGGTGATTTTTCTTTTGCAACATGCAAGAAAGCTTTTGTACCTACGAGTACGGATTTGGCTATACTAGATTCATGGCTTTTCACAAAACTCTTAATAATGCTTTGAGGAAAGTCAAATTTACAAGAAATTTAATTTATCAAAAGATCATACTTTTTTAGCCATGATAAACCTAAAATGACTGGATTAGAAAAAAATCTAATTATATTAAAAATTATGCAACTATTATGACCATTTATTGCTACATCTATAGAAAGTATTTCATGAGTAATATCTATAGAAGATAACCGACGACCATCTATGACTTCTACATATACAAGTTTAGTTTTTTATATTAATGATATTCTATGGCTTTTAATAAATTTTTTATTTAAAAAAAAAATTGAAGCTCCTGAATCTATCAAGGCACAAGTTTTGTGTTTATTAGGTCCTAAATGAACATCTATTGTAAAACAAGGAGAAGTTTCTAAGGAGAAGATAGGACCTTCGTTTGTACAAGATTCCAATTGCACAATTGTAAGTGGATAAATTTATTTTTTGATATTTTTTCATCTTTGACAATTGTACTCCTCATTTTGTAGTTGAGTTGTTTCTTTGGACAATATTGAGCATTGTGCTTAGTTGCTCCAAAATATAAATATATTCCTTCTTGAAGATGATAAGTCTTTTTTTGTTTAGTAAGAGGTTTAAAACATATTGCATCAATTTACATATCTTCTATTTCTAAATGTTTAAATTGAGAGGTCATTGGTATTATCATTAAATTATAATAATGTTAAAGTTCTCTTATACAATTCTTAGATTGAAATTGAAAAAATCAATTGTCACACTTTACAGCAAAGTCAATTGCTTGACTCAATGTTTAAAGATCCAATAAGTTGAGCATTAATTTATTTACCTCATATTGTAATCTGTAGAAAAATTGGTTGATAAGAATAGCATCATTTCAGTTGATATCAATCGATATTTGTCAAAATTGTGAAATGTATGATATTACTAATTGATTATCTTGTTGCCAAATACAAAACTTATTGGTTGTAACACAAATTGCATTTTGCTCTTCATACAAAGATTAAAACTCCCAAAAAAAAACCTCTAATTTATCCAATATTGGATCTTGTCATTCAAGAAAAGATAAAAACCATGATAATGCCAAACCTGAAAGAAGTGTACCAATGAATCTAACTTGTGATCTTGGCGTTGGATAGTTTTGGAGTTGAAGTTCAATTACAAGTTGTACTTGATTGACAAATCCTCATAACTAGGATCTTGTGCCATCAAACTTCTCGAATAAGGCAATTCTAGATTTTCTAACATTAAAAAGATGTTCTATTATAGAAAAAATGATGTGATTTGGTGTAGATGTTGAAGCGACTCCAATCATATTTGTATCTTCACTTCCTGCTATTTTTATTGTTCTTGGTGGCAATAAATTGAGTTAATGCATTGTAAGCATCAATTCTTTCAATTGCTCTTGCATTTGAGCCATTACACTCTTCATTTCAAAAGCTTTGCGATAATAATATTTTAAAAAATATATATCTAATTTTACTCAAGACAAGTAGAAGAGAGGACTTGAAAACAAAGAAAATATTAAGAACAATATTAGTTTACCAGATGATAATCTACAATATTAAGAACAATATTAGTTTACCAGATGATAATCTAAAAGGTATTATGAAATTAATATATTTTTACCTACTTCTATCTATTCATATTACCTAAGTATTAATTATAGTAGATATATATTTGTGACACCATCTATCCATCATATACATGCATTCATCCAACTATCCATTATATCCATGCATTCATCTATTATATCCATGCATCCATCTATCTATTATATCCATGCATTCATCTATTATATCTATTATATATATTATATCCTATGCATCCATCTATCTACTATATCCGTGCATTTATCTATTATATCTATTATATCTATTATATCCCATGCATCCATCTATCTACTATATCCGTACATTCATCTATTATATCTATTATATCCCATGCATCCATCTATCTACTATATCCGTGCATTCATCTATTATATCTATTATATCTATTATATCCCATGCATCCATCTATCTACTATATCTGTGCATTCATCTATTATATCTATTATATCTATTATATCCCATGCATCCATCTATCTACTATATCTGTGCATTCATCTATTATATCTATTATATCTATTATATCCCATGCATCCATCTATCTACTATATCTGTGCATTCATCTATTATATCTATTATATCTATTATATCCCATGCATCCATCTATCCATACATTCATCCATTATATCCATCTATCCATTATATCTATTATATTTATCCATAATATCCATCCATCCATCCATTATATACATTCATCCATCTATTATATACATCCATCCATCTATTATCTCCATTACATCTACCTATCCATCCATTATGTCCATTATATCTATCCATCCATCCATTCTTTCAATATATTCATCTATTGTGTCCATTCGTCCATCCATTCGTCCATCCATTCGATATATTCATCCATCCATCCGTGTTGTTTTGGGTTGTTTGATGCGCGGTGGTCACGCCTCAGCAGCCAGCCAATTCTTGAGCCTTGGCAGAGCGGTTGAGTGGAAGAAGAGCCCACGACAATAATGGGGCCACGATTCTCCACACACCCCCCCCCCCCCCCACCTCTCCCCCGAGCCTGATGGCCATTCCCACTTCCCCCATCCCTCCTTTCTTCTCTCGCTTATCAGGTTCGTGACGGGACAGCAACGCTGCTCAGATTGCCCTTTGTGGGTCTCATCTTTGTCTGGGTGACGCCGCTCCAAATGGAATAGCTCTGTGGATATGAACCCCACTATTGAAAGGTGTTTTGTTTGAGGACTGGGCTGAGCTGGGCTGAATTGGAGTCTGTTTCTGGAGTTTCGGTGATCTGACCGAGCTGGATATTTGCGGAAACGTTCAATTGTAGGGTGAATCAATCCTGGAGCTGAAGAAGTGGGTGGTGTTGAGGGGAAAGGGCCAATGGGGTCTTCCTCGGTGCAATTAGGGTTAGCAAGTGGTGGAACCAGTTCGTCGGCCATGGGGATAAGGCCATTGGCATTGACAACGGCCGCGCACTCGGGCATTCCGACGTGTGCACAGACTATTCAGGAGTCATTGAGCTATCGTAGGATTTTGGGTAGGTTGGCGAATTTGGAGGGGCTTCGTCGAGTAGAACTAAGTGGGGGCAGTAGTGTAGCATGTAGACGAGGTGGGGATGGGTTAAGAAATTTGGTGATTTTGAAGAGAGGAGCAATAGTTTGCCGGGCGAGGAAACGAGATGCGTCCCTGGAGCGGAGCAATAGGGCGAATGAAGAGCTATTGATGTTTTTCTTCCAACTTGATTTGACGACAAGGCTGCAGCGGGCGCTTAACCAGGACATGTACGAAGCGGCGCAGGGTTTGAGGGAGAAGATTGCCGAGGTGGAGCAGGAGATGGCTCGGCAGCGCAAGGCGAAGACTGGATCAGATTCCTCTAAGAATGAGGTACAGGATACAGGGATCGCAATATTGCAATTGAAAGCGGAATTGCAGAGGTTGATTGCAGAGGAGGATTATGCTGCTGCTGGTGCCATTAGGAACAAGTTAACAGCTCTCGAGGCGGAGTCTCTGGCAGCGCAGGTCCAAGCTCTGTCTTACCAGCAGCGAAGCTTTCAATTTCGGCTAGGGCAGAAGGTCAGGCATCGGGTCATTGGATACAGGGGAGTAGTTTGCGGCATGGACCCTGTGTGCTGTGAATCGGATCAATGGGCGGAGACAGCTGGTGTGGACGAACTCCCTCGCGGTCGAAATCAACCATTTTATCAGGTGCCACTTCTAGTTCAATGGTGGTTTAAATTTCTTTAGTTTATTTTGAATCAAGAAATGTGAAGCTTTGTTTAGATTTTAGCGAGTCCGCAACTTCACATTGATGAATTCATGGAATTGCCTGGGGTTTCTGAGCTATTAGCAATCATATTAGCTATTCGTATCTTTTGGTCTTGGTCTGACAACTTAGGTTTGCTACCGCAGGTTTTGGTGGACGTTCGGGAGGAGCCATCCGTTATGGTAACCTATGTTGCCGAGGATAATTTAGTCGCCCCTGAGGAACCCGATTTTGAACAATTTGATCATCCATACGTATATTTTCTCTTTTATGGCATGGATGGTGCGGGGGACTTCATAGCTTGTAAGCAATTGAGAGAAAAATACGATGCACCTCGACATGAGTTGCCTTACGACGAAAATGAAGGTGATTGATTTCTCCCTTTGCGAAGCGGTAATGCAAATTGACCACTATATCTCAATCCATCCACATGGTTGTGAACAACCATACCATGGCAATGAATATGGTTCACAACACCATCATATCTCCACCCCTCCTACTCTTACTTCTATTTCTCATTTATGGTTCCTCCTGATTGAGTCTCTGATTATTTACACTGTAGTTTTTTATCAACTCGCAATCACCAGCCTCGGTGTATGAGTTTCCTTCAAACCATGCATTGCTTTTTATTTCATCAAGCTGGTCAAACCTTAGCTTGTTTTTGAAACTTTCAACGACACATTTTTCTGTTTGTGAAAGTTTGTGGGTTACCGGCCTTGGCACCTAATGTTCTGCCTCAAGTGGAAATTCTAAACCCTGGACTTGATGAACAGGTTAATACTCAGGTTAACTGTGGGTTTCCGAACCCAAAGTTTCCACCTTGGTTGATTGTATGATGGTGGCTCTGTTGTTGTCGCTGAGGGCTTCTTCTCAGGCCTATTGTGTAGGAATCAGATGCAGGTTGTCTTCATGCGTTGATGGTGGACAATGAGAATGCAAATGGCGTGGAAAGACTCAACGTGTGGTTGCATCTTCCACGCTCTTGAAGGCTGTTTCTCTTGACGTGGAGAGTTGAATGAGGATGTGGTGCATGATCAACTTTTTACTGACTTGTTGACAAATTAAACTTGCTCACAAATATACCCAGAATTCAACAGGAAAAAGAGACTGATGTAGAGTTTAGAGAATGAGGCAAGTTGCATGCCCAGCTGCACTGTTGAACTTCGGCCCAGTTTCAAATTGAAATGGGTATGGCAATCAGTTTTCGAAATAGTGTGGTGCATGACACTTTTTTGAAACACTCAATGCACAAGACACAATGCAAGGAAAAACAAAAACACATGGTCTCTTTTAAATAAGGTTGGATATCATGACATAGACAAAGAATCAAGATGAACCAAGGGTCTTGTGCACCTGACGTGTGTCCTAACTAATATTAATCATATTGTAATTAAAATCAAAATCTAGCAAGTTTGTGTACAAGTTGTATACAAAATGTAAAATGAAGTATTTGATTGATGAAGGTATATGATGCAAATTTTATGAAGGTTTTACATGATGCCACTTTTAATGTTTTGTTTCAGTCTAAAATTAGTCAAATAGAAAACTAGTCAAACAAGATAAAATGAAAAATGTGATGTTTAAAAAAATAGGACTTGATGTGTAGATTTTGTATAGAATCAACTTTTCAGATATTTATATTACTTGTTTATTGTAATTTTTTTTTTATCAATAAATTTGTAAGAAATCACAAGAAATCAAAAATGTATACATGATATAATTATGTTAGTTTGTATTTTTTTTTAATTCACCATGTTCTTTGGAAAAATAATTACTTTAGCTATCAAAATTTAAATAGAAAGAATTAGACTTATAAAATTTTATAACATTATATTATAATTTTTATTTTGAAACACTGATTGAAATGCTTGTTAAAGAGATAATTTTGTATTTTAACATTATTGTAGTATGTTATTTGTGTTAAAGTTAAAATAACTTACTCATAGTTATGCATATATATACATATATATATATATATATTTTTTTTTTTTCTTATAGCTTTGAATATTTTACTATTCAATTATTTGAACTTCATAACTCCAAAATAAATTGAATGAAAGTAAAAGTTAGTATGATTGTTATCTACAAACTTATAGTTGGATTGCATGCAAAACAATATTTTTTTTATAAATTTAAATTAATAATTTAAAATGTGGAAAATCCTAGAATTAATACATTAAAATAAATATGTAGTGTTGATGATAGACTAAAATATTATAAAAATTATAAATCTATAAATCTACAAATCCAAAATAAAAGTAGACTTATTTCTAATTTTTTGTGTAAATTATATAACTCCATTAGGTAAAAATATGACTATATATAAAACTGTAATGAGTCAAAGTAATACACACATATATACTTTAATTTTATTTATTTATTTAAAGTAAGAAATCATATTATGTATTAATATATAGACTTAAAAAATAAATATTTCAAGTTTAATGCCATCAAATTCAGTGAGTCAAATAATTGAAATAAGATATGATTTATGTGTTCTCTTTTAATTTATAATCTTTACAAATTGACTATATCTATAATTTTTGACTATCATATATTAAAATTAATATTTCAATAATTAATTGTTGATACTACTAAATATTGCTTTGTTGGAGTATCTTAAAAAAGTTGTGTAGATCATAAAGCCATTTTAAAAGGCTTTGGTTTGAATACATTACAAAAGTTATGTACATTGTGGAGATAAGTTATTACATAATAGCTCCAACATTTGGAGATAGTAGACAATTAGAAGAAGGCATCATATTAACTAAATTGTTCTTTGATAATAATTTTGAATATAGTACCCTATATCTTGATTGTATCAACTATGAAAAACATAAAAAGATGTCTCATGCAAGTTCAATAAGACAACATTATTCTTACTATGTTAAAAAAATTTCTTAACATCATTTTTTTTTTTTTTTTTTTTTTTTTTTTTTAATAATCTAAAGACTCTTAGTTGATTCTTCTCAGATAAAGATAAGTAATCATGGCTTATTAATTTCAACCAATCACAATTTTTAACATTTTTTGCTTCTTATCTTATGGAGGGAGTATAAAGATTCCATAAAGTTTGTGTATGTGTGTATATATATATATATATATATATATATACAAATTAACATTCATTAATATATTAACTAAGTTGAATATTTCTAAATTCTTATTTAAAAGTTGTAGTTTTAATAATCATAAAAAAATTAAAATTTTAATTATTGTAAAATATATAAAATATTCTATTTATCATAAATATATTTTTTTAATTATTTTTTTTATATTATATTGTTTAATATAATAGATTTAAAATTTGAGAACCTTTGAGAAGGCCCAATTCTAATTTAAAATATTTTATGGTTTTAGAAATATATCAATAATAATCCACTTATATATATATATATATATATATATATATATATATATATATATATATATATTATAAATTAACATTGTGTTGCATGTCACAAAAATAATTTTAAATTAGTTTTATTAAAAAATAGAATAAATACATCATTGTATAACAATCCATACAAATACATTTGCAATATTGAAAAAATAATTAAGAATGTATAAACCTCAATTCAGTTTAAAGAAAAAGTTCCCATAAAGATAATAATAATCGTAAAGTAAAACGTAGAAAACCATGAGAACTGGAGTGGTGTGGAAGAGCACTCACAACAATTCAATTTAATTTTAGAGTGCGATACTTTACCTTTTTATCCGGCGCCTCTTTAAGGGAAAAGGCAGAGGGGGAAAAGACACGGAGCAAGGCGGGGGAAGAGAGAGGGAGGGAGTGGCAACGAGAATGTGGTTTCTCCGCCAGCCTCCGCTTCACATGCTCAAGCTCGACTTGCGTTGCCCGCCTGCACGCTCGATCGTCGCAGTAGGAGGAGGAGGACGAGCACCAGAACGACGACGACGAGGAGAAGAACAAGGAGGAAGACGGCGAACGCTTCCAAGAGGAGGAGGAGGAGACCGAGCCCGAGTCGAAAGGGACACGCTGCTATCGGTCTCAGTAAAACCGGGATTGGGAGGTAAGCGCTCAGAGGTTGGGGGGGGGGGGGTGGGTTGGCGTCCGAATGTCATTTCGTCTCTGTTGTTGGGAATCCATGCGCGCTCTGTGCGACTGGTGCCTTCCTACGAGAGTGTAGTTACGCGTCACGTCTCTGTTGTGTCTCGTTGTAGACTTTGTTTTGTATATGTGTGTATCTATCTATCTATCTATCTATCAATATATATATATATATATATATATATATATATATATATATATAGTTTTTTGTGTGTGGCTTTCTTCCTCTGGTGTGCGGATGCCGGGCATTTGGAGTGCGAAAGTGTGTGTCGGAGTTGCGGTCTTGGCTTGCTTCTTCTTCGTTCGTGGGTTGTAAAATTTGTATGGTTCGGCGCGGGGTTTAGGTTATGTTCGTGAAGTCTTTGACAGCGGCGGTACAAATTAGGGTTCAGTTTGAGTTGGTGTAATAGCAGAGTGAGAGGAAGAGGGCGTATTTGCTGGTTAGGGTTCTCGGCGGCTGTTTAATTTTGGGTATCTCTTGACTGAATGTTCGTTTTTTAAAATTTTATTTATTTATTTATTTTTGTGTGTGTGTTAGATTTGTTGAGAAATGACGTGGCTAGGATTGACCTTCACAGTGTGTAGGTGGAGGGTGCATGAGGCCTAGAGTCTACGGTCTGTGCTTTGGGACATGCAGCTTAGAACTGGCACTGGAAACGGAGAGATGGCTACTCGTCGGCCCGCAGGCCTTCCCCCTGTGGTAAGAGTACGATCACGCACACAATTCTGCTGATTCTGAAGCACATTAGAAGGTTGAGGAGGATTCATGAATGCTCCTGCTGGAAAATTAAATTTGCACATGGTTAGGAAATGACAACCAAATCAAGCTCATGGTGTAGATGTACACTTTAATGTTTAGTCTTTTAGGATAAGGTGTACGTTTCGTAAGCCAGAGACACGTGAATTTAAATGATGGTCAATTTTTTTGATTATCTTTTACTTAGCTTATGTTTGAGGAATTCTGATAATTTTCTCTTGCTTGTATAAATTTCACCTCTTGGGCTCAAATTTGGCGATGTACTCCGAGCGGAATCAAATTGTGTGTATATAGTGTCTGAAGTCGGTGGTTTGGTAGAAATAATTGTCCTCTTGGATGACGAATTCAGTGCATGTTCATCATTTACGGTGCTTCTTTTAGTCTTTTGTTTTCTGAGATGCACTACATTTCTTTTGTGTTTTGCAGGGGGCACCACCATTAAGAGGCGGGTTTCCTGTGGATTATGGTCCACGAGTAGATGACAGACGTCAAGGCTTCTCATCTTCTACTTCTCGTCCTGCCCACAATGGAAGAGATGATCTCGAAGACACACCACCCTCCAGACATTTGTGGATAGGGAACGTGTCTCAAGATGCCTCAGAGGCAGCCATCAGAGACAAGTTTTCTCAATTTGGGGATGTTGACAGTGTTACAGTATACTCCTCTAGGAACTATGCTTTTGTCAACTTCAGAAATCTTGAAGACGCTGTGGAGGCGAAGACTCACCTTCAAGGCTTTGTGCTGGGGGGTATGGCCATTCGTATTGAATATGCTAAAGGGGTGAGCATAACTTTCATATCTTGATATCAAGGCTCATTTTGTGGACTGCTCACAGCTTCTTTTTATCACCTCTGACGTGGTGTTGATGAGTTACTGAGTACTTCTGCAGAATGCACGAGAGAATAATTCTCACAGAATAATTTGGTCAAACATCATATAAATCGGGTGGTTCAAATTTCATCAATAGTTGAATGGCCAAATAACGTTGTAACAAGTGAGAACTGTAGGCAGGAAAGTACAAAGTACGATGCTGATTTTGGATAGAGATTGAAAATCGTTATGTTCAGCGTATGATGAAATCTGAGCCAGCGAGAGAGCGGGGGGCTGATTCTGATTACACCAAAAATATGGAGGAACAAGTTGCAACACGAGTACGGTTTATTTTTCAACTAGCATGTGGACCCTCGTATTTTGGGTGGAAGCTAAATCATTTTTACTAGCAAGAGAGGGCCATTTTTCGATCATAATTTTTTAATTAGATAATATCGACACCTTGCAGTTATATCATGCGTAAAACATCATCTATATGCATGTGTCTTCTACCTTTTTGAGAACCAAAACTTCTCGACACAACCTGAACGAAATGGAAGAAACCGTTTACGGTTTGCCTTGAGTCTAAAGATCTGGATGTATATACTGTTTATCACTGTTATGTTTATTGATAGCTTGCTCGCCTGCAGGCTACGCAAAGCCGTCATCTTTGGGTCGGAGGGATTAGTTCGAACGTAACCAAGGAGCAGATAGAAGGGGAATTCAGGAAGTATGGAGTGCTTGAAGACTTCAAATTATTACGAGAGCGTAATTGCGCTTTTGTGGACTATGTGAGGATGGAGGATGCTGTTAGTGCAGTAGAAGCACTCAATCGGAAGCGCATTGGTGAAGAGGAGTTGCGTGTAGATTATGGACGATCCCAGCCCTCGAAAAGAGTAAGTTATATTCAATAGGAGGTGAATGTCTATGGACTTGTTTTAGTGTACGCTTCAGCACGAAGGGACTCACATACTCTACTTAGCTCTTTTTGTGCTGTTTTTGATTATTAGGTTGCGTGGTTGAATTGTTTCTTGCATCGTAATCTATTGATTCTTATTTCATTGTTTACGTTACCATTATTAATTTTTTCTCTTAAGAACTTTCTAGTTTTCTAAGTGTAGTATAAGCACTTGTTTGTTTTTGGTTTTCTGCCGATTCTTTTGGGCTTGTTGTATGAGTCGTTTAGTCGTTACTGCGTTGCTTTTTCGTTCATTACTCTGATCGATTTGTGGAGCAGGATTCACGGGGAGAACAAAGAGGCTCGCAAGATGGTTACAGTACGCAACATGGATCGCAGGTTTGTAAGGATACTCTAAAATCCTTAATTCAGTAAAGAGTCACACACACACGCACAAGCGCCATAAACACACCCTCCTCCCCCTGTGCAACCAAAGTAAAAAGTGCTATGCATTCTTACTATAAACATCAGTTTTCCTGTGATACCTGAAGTTCAATTTTTTGCAGGGAGGTGCGGGAAATGGGGTGGAAGGGCGCGTTAAAGCGGATAAAGATGGAGGTCCTAGTGAAATCCTATGGGTAGGATTTCCCCTGCCTTCGAAAGTTGACGAGGATGGATTACGAAGGGCTTTCATGCCATATGGTGAGGTTGAACGCGTGAAGACCTTTCCAGGGCGTACGTATGCATTTGTCCAGTTTCAAAAGGTTGAAGAGGCTACGCGTGCAAAGAATGCGTTGGATGGGAAACTTTTTGATGATCCTCGTGTGCACATTCGATACTCAAAGAGCGAGATTGGTCCCATAGATAGTCCACGGGATGGCCCTCCGTCACGAATGGTAGATCGACAAGGTTTCTCCACAGAGGCCATTGGAGGGTCGAGGGGAATTCCTTCAGCAGGAAGTGATAGGTTTGGTAGCCCTGGCAGGGCTTCTGCCAACTCTAATGCGCGCTTGGGTGGTGGTCTCAGGCCAGAGTATCGGCCCAACGCTCTTATGGCTGGCCTTGTAGACCGTGGGAGTTCCAGGGAGCCTGACATTGGGCCTGGAATGGGTCGTGCATCTCACAGAAATGTGAGCCATGTAGACGATATGGAGTACTCAAGGGGTATTAGGCCTGACAGCCGTTCGTCTTATGATGATGCGTGGGACTTGCCGGATGCAGATATTGTGCCCAGGGATTCTAAACGGCTGCGTGTTTATTCCGGAGGTGGAGCCGATTCTCCTGGATTCGATCCTTGGTATGAACAGCGTCCGCAACAAAGTTCTGATAGTGGAGCTTACATGGGCACCGGAGTTTCTAGTACTTATGAACCTCTCCGCTTACCAGCTACACCAGATTATAATCTTGGATTGGGAGGCAGATCCCGAGCAGGGCTTTCAGGTCCCGAGAGCAATATCGCTATGCCTATTGGAACCAGGTCAGGTGTTGGTGGGCATGTACCTCCTCCTAATTCTTTAGTGTTACCGATATCTTCTACGTATGGAAAGCATAACGTGGAGGACGTCAAAGGACCAGAAGGATGGCAATGGCACGGAACGATAGCCAAAGGTGGCACGCCTGTATGCCGCGCTCGATGCTTGCCAGTTGGCAAGGGTATTGATGCAACTGTGTGAGTTTTTATTTCAACTTTCATATTGTCTTCTATCCAAGCTGTGTTTATTATTCCAAGTCTTTCCACCTTTATCCCGCTTTTTCCGAATGTTCCATCGTACATTCCCATGATGTGTCCTTCGGTTGTTGAATGAAACGTAAAGTGATGAGTTTTTATCAAACATACGATCTTATTTTGAGGATAGTAACTTGACCATTGACATTCAGATTGTGGTGTGCAACAGTCCAGATGTTGTGAATTGTACGGCGCGCACAGACCTTGATATGCTCGCGAAACATGTTTATCAGGCTGGAGGGTTTGGTGTGGTATTTTTTGTGCCTGAAGGCGATCCTGATGTCCCACCATATCAGGACTTCATGCATTATCTTGGGGAGAAACACCGTGCAGGCGTTGCCAAGTTGGCTGATGGTACAACTCTTTTCCTTGTTCCTCCATCTGAATTTTCAGAGAAGGTATTAAAGGTCCCTGGGGATAATTGCCTGTTTGGGGTCGTGCTGAAGTTTCAACAACCAGGGCCAGCACCGGTAGTAAATTATAACCCACCTGCACAGCAGCAACAGCAGGTTCCTTCTTTAGGACAGCATCCTCCTTATTCACAACAACAATTACCCTCTCAACACACACCGATCTCCCAGTCGCAATATCCACAAAACCAGGCACCCCCGCAGCATGTACCCGGAATTCAGGAACCTGCTCCGTATCAAGGCTTTCAGCATTCTCTCCCTCACGATGGCCAACCTGCACAAACCGGAAAACCCACCTCTGTCGGTTTGAGTGATGGTCTTCCGAGTTCTGTTTCAAACCCCAACTCAAACAGTACTTCGATGTTGACGCAATCTCAGTTAGCAAATATTGCCGGTTTGCCGGGCGTATTGACCCCTGAGCTTATTGCATCTCTTACGGCTTTGCTGCCTAAAACGAACATGAGTCAGGTTTCCTCAAGTGCCGACTCAAATTTGGTGCCTCCTCTTGTCTCGAAGGGATCGAAGACATTTACTTCTAGTCCTGGTTTGCCAGTGGGGGGCGCACCAGCGCTAGGGGGCACTCATCAAAATGACGTGAGGCCCGTATTTAGACCGTCTCAGAACAATCCTCCAACAGAACCGGCACAGGGTTGGCAACAGCAGCAAAATCAGCAAGATCGATCTCAAATTGGAGTTTCTAATTTCCATCTTCAAGCTGCGGATCAAAACTCCATGTATACATCTCAACCACCTCAGCAACCGCACAATCTTCAGCCAAATCCGTCTCAGCAGCTTCAGCTTCAACAGGCTCTACAGCAACCACCGCATCAAAACACTCAACTTCAAGGTCAGCCCTCTCACATGGCAGGACCACCTCTCTCGGGACAAGGTTCTAGCTTTCCGGGTCCTCCAACACATCCGCAAGGATATTCTGCTCCTGGTGTGCAACAATTTCCACCACTTCCTCAAATGCCTAGACCACCACAACAACCGATGGGCGGTCCTCAACAGCACATGGGAGCCCCACCGCAGCTTCCTAGTGATCAATTAGCTCAACTAACAGCTCTGCTCACTCAGCGGCACCAGCAGCCTTCGCAGCAACAGGCTGCTTCACAACTTTTGCAGCAGCATTTTCAGCAGAATACTACTTCTCAATCAAGTGGCCTAGCTACTGCTGTGTCCCAACCCCAACAAGGTTTGGGCCCTCAGTCTCAGTCTCAACAGCAGCAACATCAACCTCCCCTGGGGCCTCCTTCTCAACAGCCCCAACCTCCAAATTATTCCCAATACTCGCAGTCCCCTTGGGGACAGGGCTCTGCTCCACCATCCTCAGGTCATGGAAACTCACAACTGTCCTCTCTCGTGCCCCAACTACAGCAGCAGCAAAACTCTTCAAATGTCCAATCTGGAAGTTGGGAAGGTTCTTTATCTCAGGCAAGTGCTGGCGCAGAGCTACAGGCCTCATCCCAGAATCAGGGTGGTAGTGAAGCAGACGCTCAAACTAAGCGATTTCAGGCAACAGTACAGCTAGCTGCTGCCCTTTTGCAGCAGATGCAGCAACAACAAGGAAAACCTTCAGGAGGTCAAGAACAGCGTTGATTATTTGCTTGAGTGCTCTGCTGCAGGTAATTTCTGCTCTTCTTTCAACTTGGTATGCTGTGGTCGTTTTGCAATCCTTTGCCTATGACTTAAATACCGACAATCTTGCTCAGTACTACCTACTGGTTTTGTTGGTATGTGTAACATAAGTCTTGATTCAACCTTCGCAAAATTCCTTCGATCACGTCAGTGCGTCCTACTTCACATGGGCATAGCCAACATTCACTTAGTCGGTCAACTTGAGATGCACATCGCTTGATGGATCCTTCAGTAACGTACATCCTGGGTGTAAGAACCTGCAATAGACACTTGGCTACACCGCCTGTTTGATCCTTCAGCCCGCTCGTAATGTCAATTCACAGCATAGTGGACTAATCTAAGAAGGGTAGCCTGCATGGCCATTTTGCTGACGATTTAGATGATATTTAAGGAAGTTTCATTTTCGGATATAACCGTACGATTAAATCTTAATCTGATCGGAATACCTCTCCATTACACACCCTAAACCCATAAAATCCCTCACCACTCTTTCATTTCCGAGGCCATATATCTCAGAGCCTAGGTGGTAGTGTCATCATCTGATTGACTTAATATTACTGCGGACATGGAACATTGTCACGGGGAGTGCATTTTGTACTTCATGTTTCAATTTCCCTCAATCCCCGGAAAGTTTGCCATGCAAGAGCCACTTGGGGTACCTAACCACCGCTTTGAATCCGCAGCCGACCCCCACACAAAGCATTTTCTAGTATCATCTTTGTCGTGTCTGAGTCGAGATAAGAGCAGAGACATGAGTGTCTGGATGGAGCTGGAATGACTGTTGCAGGTACATCCTTTAAGAGAAAAAGTATTTGATGTCCCCTCGGAATAATGGTGGTATGCCAGTGTGTAACGGGAGTGATTTTCTCTACTCGTCAATTGAATTAAGCATGGGTATCTGGTGATTCGGATGTCGTCACTAAGTAGCTTACACATGCGCAGCATCCTCGTTGATTGAAGAAGTGGAGTGTCCCAGTCCATTTCCATTCGAGACGGTTTGTCTCATATTGGCGCACGAGTTCGAAGATAATTTGTGTCGGCCTTAGCATTATCATTCTGGGACCCCGTACATGATCGCTTTCTCGTATTCTTTCTGCAGTTCCACCCGAAGTGCCCATAATCATGCACAATCTATGGACGGCTCTCACTTACCGAACATGGCGGCCTTATTGCAGAGACTCACGAGGCTGGAGGTTGTGTTTTTGGAATGACATTTTGTAGGTGTACTTGGTAAGACGCGTTGGAATGACATTGTGGTCACAGTAGCTACATCAGGTACATCATTGTGAACTGTTTCCATACATGTCGCGACTCATACAGCGATTTCTACAGTAATACCCAGCAACACTCATCAAACGTGAACCTGAAGTGTGAACAATGTTTGTTGCCAATGACAAAATCCATCAGACAACAATTTGCAGGAGATGATGTACATTCACAAGTTCTCGTGATGAGTATTGCTGGTGGGATTTGGCCGATCAATTAAGGATCTACAATACGCACTGAGGATTAAAACCCAGGCGGTAGTTCTGATCACCGTTTGGTTCTTTTTATTTTATTTGTTCGTGTTGCCTCCATTCTGACAGTTTGTCCTCACCTAGCTAGTAATGTTCAAATCTTAGCAGTTATGCAGTATTGTAGAGATTTTAAATTTCACTCCAGTAAGCATTAGAGCTGCAGCACGAGGACTTAATTTCACAGCAAAATTTAGCATTTTCCGCAGCACCTTTCCTTGAGTTTTTTCCCTTCAAATCGTCAAGTAAACCTTTAGGTTGATGCTACACCCTCATCTTATGCATTTTGTGTTGTCAAATTTTATTACATCAGTTTATGTGATAGGTCACCCCAGCTGAAACCATGGTTTGATATGAGAAATGAAAATTCATTTTGCTTAAACCCTTTCTGTTGCTAATGTTTTAACGAGGATTATAATCTGTGCAATGATCTGCGTCTCTGGTGACTTTGAATAACGAAAGCGTATATCTTAAGGAGATAAGAACATTGAACGAGTTGGAATATATGATGTTGAGACTTTTTCATGCATAATTCTTTATTAGTAGGGTTTACACTCAACAAAAGTTGCAAAAAGAAATGAATAAATTTGTGTTCCTTTTTACTAATAATACGTTATTCACGTTTAGTGAACAACATAAAGATTGCCACATCAGAAATTTAAAGAAGATGTTAGTGCAGATATTAACAACTTCAAAATCTACGTTATTAGTGCAGTTTGTCTTGGATGAATACTTTTGATCAATGAATTTCAGAATTTATATATTTTATCAAATCTAAATTTAAAATTATCACATGAAAATCAAAGCAGATGAATACATAGAACCCACACTGTAGGAATTTCATTTTGTAAACGTTTCTCAAGGTTCCTATAGTTTATACATAACAAAGGTTGAGAATTTGTACAATAAATTTAAGAATACACAATTGATGTATTTATGTTTACATCTTATTCACATTCCAAGTTTTTTTGGATTGCTCTATTAATATTAAATGAAGATGGGAATGAAATAGGTCATAACTCAAACCTCATTAAATCTTTGATGTGGTTGATCACCAATAGCCAAAGTTAGGCTTAAAAATAAAGTGAATAATAAAGTATAAAATTTAGCTGATAGAATAATCAAACAACCAAATTTGCTATGTAACAATTGAGTAACAATATTATGCATATCGCTTATATAAAATAGCTGGGGGGATAAACCAATAAGATAAATCAAAGGAAACAAAAACCATCTCTAATTGGCTACATATCTCATTGTTTTATCATAAGTGAAGAAAAAATGAAGCAATAGCTCAACTTTTGATCAATCAGAGATCAAAATCTGCATGATGCTGCTGCAAATCGCCAAGAGTAGCATTGCAAGATTACTAAGTGTGGAGCTTGGAAGCTCCCAATTGTAATTTTTAGTAAATATTTTTTGTGGCCAACTAGACAAGTTTCCACTAGTGATTTTATAAAGATAACAGCTCATGAAATTATATACACAATTATATAATTAACACCCCCAAAAATATAAAATTCATTCTTAAAATATTAAAAAATTAAAAAATTAATTAGAAATGGATAACTAATTGTGACAATTGTGATAACTGAAATCATCGTCTTGAAGAAGAGAACGCTAAAGCCTTGTGTCTCCGCGGTGTGAACAGAGCCGCAGCCTCGACGCAATTATTACCTTTATCGCCGTTATCGTTAGCACCGTCGCCGTCGTCATCACCGTTGTCAGGAACAAGGTCGACACAGTCGTCGTTGAAGCGCAATCAGTCATGGAGAGCAGGAGCTCCAGTTTTCTGTACAATTCCATGGCGCTGCTGATTGTGTCGTCTGTTAAGCTCGTATTAGCACTTGACGAGTTTGTTTGTTTGTGTTTTTGCTTTTTTGTTTTTCCCTGGCCACAATTCTGCTGCTGCGAAATTGACATTGTCTTTGGCCGGAGAGCGTGAAGAATGGTTTGATGCTCTGTTGTTGTCGTCGTCTTCGTCGATCGCTTGTAGCTCTGTTGCCGAGAGTGCAGGCGTTCCTCATCGTCTCCGATGGAGGCGACCAGGAAATCTCCGAGGAAGACCGCGAGGAAGGCGTCTGCTCTCGAGACGGTCGGCGTGGAACATGAATTGGAGGTCACGGAGATGAGGAAGGGGGTTAAGAGTAGAAAGAAGAAGAGAGGGAGAGGGAACAGCTCCTGTGACGATGACGATGACGTGAAGATCAGTAGTTTGATGGCAACCAAACGGAAGAGAAAGCCTTCGGAAGATGATAGAGCTGACGAGGAGGAGAATATGACGCCACCGTCGAAAAAAAAGGGGAAGGGTTCTGTGCACGAGAGCAAAAGTGAGAGTGATCACGTGGATGCTGGTGTATTCACTGCTGGTGATGGATTAGGTTTTGCTACTCAAGTTGTCGAGACAGATGTCGGAGTTAAAATGATCGAGGAGGAATTAGAGGACAGACAGCTTTCAATCGATGATGACTTGCCCTTGACGCAGCTCTCTAGTTTTCGAGCGCAAGAGACAGATGAAGGAGATGCATTGGAAGTGCAAGAGCAAGAACGACATTCTAAACCCCGGGTGATTGTATGTTCCTTGATTATTTATTCAAAGTTTCGCTTGTCTCTGAAACTCTGAGCAACGAAGGAATATTTGTTTTTATCGGTGCTGCAGCTCCAGATTATTTTCGCCGAGGATGTGTGCTTGGCAAGTTATTATTAAAACTTTGATCAACTTTTTGTGAACATGTGCAGGCAGCTTCTTCTCTACCTATCGTATTTGGCGAGAAAGTCAACAGAACGAAGGTAGACAACTTTGTTTGATAAAATTTGCCTTACGGAAGATATGTAGGCCCATGTTCCCGGTGATCTCCTTTTAAGGCGATTTCTGATCAGTCGATTTTGTCGTCGTATTGTAACGTGCACATATGCATTTCAGGCTAAGGATTTTTTTGGGGATTTTCTTTTGTTTTGTACGGACCGCTGTTACCAAGGCAGACACACAAGTCAGACGTCGATAGAAGATGACAATTGCCCACAAATCTGTGTGACATGAGCTAGGTGCTGTTGGAGTGCGAGGGAGATGCGCTTGATTTAAGCGGGGATATGGGTGCAGTTGGGCGCTTCACTGTAAATCGACCCGATGATGAGCTTCTGTTGGATTTGAAAGGTTCTTTTTGAACGGTGGCCTTTTAGCATACATAAAGTATATTCATCAGGGCTTCAGCATCTAATAGTAGTGCTGAAAGAGCTTGTTTAAGATGAGGGAGGTCTTCAATTGGTTTTTCCTTGGAGGTATCTGAGCATTGATTACGATGGTTAGTGTTTTCCCATGTGTATTACACTCCTCCGTTTTGACGGAGCTCCTAGAACCTTGCTGCGCAGGTGTTGTTTACAAGACAACAATTGTTCCCTCCAACACATATTTTGTGGTAAGACTCTTTCATCAGAGTTGCTTGCAGTTTTCAAACTTCTCCTTCTCTAGTGACTTGCTTAATGCTTTTCACCACTGTTTAATTCTTTTAACTACTGTTTTCCTCTATTTTCTGATGAGAACAATGGTGAATGACAGGTGAACGTGGGACAGATGGAGGCAAAGGTAGTTTTGCCGCCTGCCAGCATATCTCGATTTTTTTTCATACTGCTTTTCTTAGGCCTCCTTTTGTCGCGTTACCATCATAAGAACCGATGTAAATTCCCGTGTGAAGGCAATTTTTAGTGTTCTTGGGTTGTATTTTGCACTGCTCGCTCGAATACCGTTTATTCTTGAAACTAATATTTGAGAGATCAATATTTCAAACGTTTTCCTGCGCTCCTGATTATCATGCGACTCTGATTTTCGTTTACTCTTCTGAATATGCTTATGCAATCCTTATAGAAAATACCCTTTATTGTCCTAATGCAGGACCTAAGTCTTTCATTAGCTTTGTCTCATTATCTCATTTTTTTGTTCATCCCATGGCTATGCTAGGTGGAATCCATCATGACCGATTTTATGCAGTTGCGAGCTGATACGAGTTGGAATGAGAACGAAACTATGGTTGAGGGTTAGTGGTCCACCCCGTTTGAGTATAGTGTGTACTGCAGCTTTCTTGGCAATAAAGACAAGTTTATTATTGTTCCTAATCGCAAAGCATGAAGTCTTGGGCCATACCCACACTTTTTCCATCAAGCTTATTTCAAATCAACTGAAGCAGAACAGCTTGTCCCGTAAGTCTAACAGGACGTAGTAAGAATGCATGATTTATTCATTATCTAGGGGCCTGTTCATCAGACTTCTAACAGGCCCCTAGATATCGAGTGACTTACGAGGATTTTTTAGTGGTCTAAAATTTACTCATTGTGTACACTGCAGGAACTTTGAAAGACTTTGCATTTGAATCCGATGAAGAAGGCGAACGGCCTGCAGTTGATGGCGATGACATGCCTTCCATTGCCGAAGAAGTTAAACATGAAGAGGGTGCTGCTGCTGCTGACAAACTAGCAAAGAAGAAAAAACCATCTGTTAAGGTCCTGGCACATGCTCGATTGTTGAAATTGTATATGAACGCACAAATGTTCTTGAAACATGTACATAGAACTAGGAGTTGTATTATGTAGTAGCTAGATTGATGTTGAAGCTGGATGAGACTATGGCATGCTTGTTCACGCTGCAATTTTAACAGACTAGCGGTAAAGTGCCTGTGAGGAAAGCAGCGGCAGTTAAATCAAAAGTTGGAAAAGGAAAAACCAGTGCAAAGGTGAGAAATGGAACTAGACGAAGCCCGTGTTAAAGATCTTGGCCGTGCAATTAATACGTCATAGTTGCAAACTTTTTCGACAGAATGTGTAGTTGCACGTATATAGTTGCCATCGGCAGTTAAAAGTGAACTAATTATCCTGTCGTCAGCACCTAAACTTGGGGTATTTTTGTATTTTACAGGGTGGAGTGGGAAGAAAACCTAGTGTTAAAAAGGCCATAAAGGCAAGTATTGGGAAAAAATGAAAGCAAGTGCAGTGTGTGTACTGTATTGGGGCACTGCCGAGTAGGTATGTGTCTGTGCCAGGCTGTAACATCTCTCTTGTTAATTGTACCCTACAAATGCTTACATATTCACTGTTCCAGTAGTCAATTTATTTACATTCTAGTTTGTATCCTTAATTATGTACAAAAATCTGTCTCACACTGCTGCTTCATATATGTTAAATATATGAATCGAATAAAGTTCTCCTTTGCTTAGTCTGCTGCATCATAATGATGGTAATTTTTTGGCATCCAATCACAACACCTCAAAATGAACATCCTAAAACTACTCTCACCTTTTTTGGATGTTTATTGGATGCTGTGTTCTATGACATGCGATATTTGCTGTTGTAGCTCAGATAAAATTAAAATAATGTCAATATTAAACTTAAATAACTTTCATATGTCATTAATCCTATATATATTATATATGAGCAATATTAGTACTTAATAAATATTCCCATGTTAGTGGTAAGCATCAAATCTGTAATATTATTAGGATCTCTTAAGGCCACTAGTTAGCTTGCACAAGGTTGAATAATAAATTATGAACATAATTAAAGATTTATAATGATTTAGTTTTTTTTTTTTTTTTTTTTTTTTTTAAAATCATAATGTGTATTTATGTATGGAGGTATTACTATTCTAGTATTTATTACCTATTATAACTCTATAATATTACGTAATAATTTTAAGATCATCCATAGTATACTAATTGTAAGATAAGAATACTTTTTTATTATAGTTTATTTCTATATAAGAATCAAATTACTTAGTTGTTAGTAAGACTATTTATCAATTTATAATTATGTAAATATTGTCAATATTGAAATTCTAACACAAACAATGATATGTGATTTTTGAAGAAATTTTGGAAAAATAATAGAAATAGACGATAAAGAACAAATGTCTTATATTATTTGTAAGAACTTTTGATAATTTCTACTCCTAAATTATTATTACTTTTTGACACATTGTGAATATTTTTTATATACTTATATTTATAATTTTAAAAACTGTTTAGTTATTTTATTTGGTATCTTCTAAAGAATTATATATTTAGATTGAATAGAATTAAACTCTTATTTATTACTGCATTGAAAAATATGTAATTTTTTTTTATAAATCTTTGATAATATAAATTTAAGTGTTTATTTTATATAATGTTGTATTTTAGTTTTCTAAGTATTAATAATTCAGTTATAAATTAATTTATTCAATAATCATAAAGACCATCATTATTTTTCATAAAAGTTTTATTTGAATTAAAAAACATAGATCTTTTATATATTAATATTTCCAAATTAAATATATAATCCCAAATTGAATTATAATGATCTTATTATGACACATTTTTTTAAAATTAGTGTTTGATTTTTTTTAATTGTAATGAAACTTATATTTAAATATAAATTTGATCAATTAGTTTCTAATTTAGATAATTGATACAAATACTTATATATATATTATATATTATATTATTAAAAAAATAAAGACTTGTTGATTTTAATTATTAAATATATATTCAAATATATTAATATATTCATATTAAAATCATTTACTATAATCATATAGTTGCTAAATTAATTGCAATAAAATTAATCTTAATTAAATAAAGAATAAGTTATAAATTGCTACTTGCACTTCAATTTTAATTTTTATTATAAATATTTACTTGTATAAAATTATTTTTACGATAGAAGCACATATAAAAATCTTGGTATAGATATAGAAATAAAATCTTATAATTCTATGAATTTTTGTATATTTATAATTTATTCATAATTTTACAAATTATTCAAAATTTTTAATGATTCATTTATAAAAATAATTTTATAAATATATACAACTTGATTTTAAATCTTAATGATTATTAAATTATTTTTTTATAATTTCATGCTTCAACATTACTTTTTGCTAATCCATTGTGTGTCAAGGACAAGACTCAAAGAAGATAAACAAGTGAAAAATAAATCAAAGAAAGATTACAACTAGAAATAAAAAAAATATATTCAATTAAAAATTGAAATAACTATTGCCAAAGGCTAACAAACTAGAAACTCTTGAAATTAGACTATAAGCAAGAAAAGAGTAAAAAAAGCTTCACTCTTGCTTCTATATATACTATCTATCTAAGAGCTATGTGGCAACATTCTATAGGACCTCTAATATGTATCCAATTTATAAGACACATGTCTTAACTTGCAAGACAAGTTTCCTATAAATGCACCATATCATTAACTTATACTCCAAGCTACTAATACATGTGATACATAGCTAACTTGTTGTCCAGGACAAGAACTCGATGAAAAAGTAATTTAGACAAGTGAGCCTTCACTCAAAGAAAGGTAACAAAATATAAATAAACAAGTAAGTATATTGAAAGAGAAACTAGAATGGCTATTGCCAAAAGACAAGAAAACTAGATATCTTTGAAACTAGATTGGAAGCAAGAAAGGAGTTGATAAGAGTGAAAAAAGCTTCACTCTTGTCTCTATATATACTATCTAACTAGTGGCTACGTGGTGACGTTCTATAGGACTTCTAATATGTGTTGACTTTGTAGGACACATGCCTTGACTTACAAGGTAAGTTTTTCTACGTGTGGGCCACATAGTTAGCTTGGTCTTCAAGCTAACAACATGTGTGGCACATGGCCAACTTGTTGACCACGTTTCTAATCCAAAAAGTCAATTAAAGACACCTATAAAATAAAAATAGTATCTATGAAGCTTCTAGGAAGCTTCCATATCAAATACTATAGAATTAACTTACTTTTACCTACTTTTACTTACTTCTACCTATTTGTATATGTAATTATTGACTTACATGAGTATGTCTGTGACACTGGTTGGCCAAGTTTTTAACCTATTAATTACTTATAGATATGTATATAGGAGAAACCATGTCTATAAAGCTTTTAGGAAGTTTTTTTATAAGATATTATTATATTAATTTACTTTTATATATTTCTACCTATTCATATTATCTAAGTAACTATAGATATATTTTTGGCATTATCTCCTCTTCTAGGAACAAGTTCCACAAAGAGTGGTAATCACATCTTGAAGAAGTCTAAGATGTGACAAATTGTATTTATCACATATTTTGATTGTTATTTCTTTTGAAAGTAGTTGATAAGACCTCTCAATCACCAATAATGTTTTATTTTAAGGTGGAAAGACCACCCTATTATTTGATTATTATTCAAGCCTTTATAACTTTCTTCAAATAAAATATTTGTAATACCATTATGAGTCATTTTTACATCTAATAAAATCACCAAATATTAGAAGTCTCTTCCAAATTTGTGATAAAAAATGCATTATATTTCACCATCTATTAAAAAATAAACATATCCTTCTTGAAGGTCTTCATTTCAATTACATCATCTCGAAGGTTGTGATAATAACAATGTTTTGTCTACTAAGTCAGCAAATGATGGCTCTTAAGTTGAATCTATTGATTGTTGATTCTCTATCTTCTTTATGCCACAAATACATAGAAATTATAAACAAAGATAGAAGGTTGAATGCAATCTTTTCTAAACTATAGTTCTTTTCTAGCAAAGATTTACTATCCTTTATTTTGGTTTTGATAGGTATTGTTAATGGAAAGTATCAATCTTTTTTGCTGTATTTGCAAGTTTCTTTGCTAGCTTCTATGTGTATTCACTAATATCATATCTATGCTAATGACTAAGATATTCCAACATATTTTGGTGTTGCCTTGAATGTGAGACTTCTTCTACTTCAAATTCTTTATTATTATCCACTTCAATAAGAAGAGGTGGTATTTTTCTTCTTTCTAAGATATTCTTTATCTTATATGGCTCAAGAAAAGACATGTGGAATATAAGATGGATCTTTATAGGCTTCAATAGATATAATTGATAGGTAACAAGATTGATTTGTTCATAAATAAAAAAATGATCCAAGCTTATAATAATCTAACTTGTCACAAGAGCAGCTAGTCTTAATATTATGACAAAGTGCAAAAATAAATGTTTTCTTTAATGCTTCAAAAGATACAACAACTTCTTTGCTTAACTCAAGTTTTTTTTTTTTTTTTTTTTTTTTTTTTTTTTTTTTTCATATGTCAAGCATATAAAAAAAACCATAATTTTAAAAAAAATTCTTGATAAAGATTTTATAATAATTAACAAATCTTTAAAAATATTATACATCATTGATTTTTTTTGAGATCTTTCAATATATGATAATCTAAACCTTCTTAGCATCCATCATAAGGCCATCATCTAAAATGATGTATTTCAAAAAATCAATTTGAACAGTATAAAATATATACTTTTCCATCTTTATATATAATCCTACATCTCTTAGTTTTTGTAACACATGACAAATATGAAGTTCATATTCTTTAATGTTTTTAAAATAGATTAAGATATTAGCTAGATAATAAACAATAAAGTCATCAAGAAATTCACAAAAGACATCATTTTTTAGATGTTGAAAAGCAATTGGTGCATTTGTCAGTCCAAACTACATAACATTATATTTGAAATATCCATACTTAATTCAAGTCATTATTTATTTATTTATTTATTTTTTATGTATATCAAATTTTAGGCTCTTTATAGATCTATTTTTATAAATATTTTTCCTTGATTGAATTGGTCAAGAAGTCTTGAAATGAGAAAAAAATTATATTTATTTTTGATTATGAACTTGTTAAGTCTTTGGTAGCTTATATATATCTATAAAGATGCATTGTTTTTCATTACAAATAAGATATGAGCTTTTTTTAGAGATTTTGAATGGCATATGAAGTTCTTAGCCTAATTCTTCTTAATATATTCTTTTAATGTAGCCAATTCATTCTATGATAAGCTGTAAATTAATCCGAATGGAGTTTGAGCTCCTTCTGAAGATCAATTGAACAATTATAGGATCAATGATCTAGAAGAATATTTGCATTTTTTTTTTCAAAAACATCCTAGAAATTTTGATATTGATTAAGAATACTATTTGATATCTTTTCACCATATAAAATAGGCCTGACATATATAGCAAAAAATGATCATTCTTTTAGTGTATGCATGAAAGCTCTTGCACCTATTAGTAGTAATTTGGATTTATTAAACTTATGTATTTTTACTTGACTAACAAAATTTTGGATTAAATTACAAGAAAAGTCAAAATTACAAGAAATTTAATTTATTTGAGGATTATATTTTTTTAACTATGATAATCCTAAAATAATTGAATTGAAGGAAGATCTTATTATATTAAATATTACTATGCTATTATTATCTTTAATTCCTCATAGATGATATCTTCAAAAGATATTTATTGATCATTCATGACTTTTATGTATACAAGTTTAGTTTTTTTAATTAAAGCTATTTTTTGTTTTTTGATAAAGTCTTTGTCTATAAAACAAGTTAAGATTCTTGAATCTAATAAAATAAAGACTTTATGATTTTTAGGTCTTAAGTACACATCCATTGTAAAATAGGGTGAAGATTTTGAAAAGAACATAGGATCTTTACTAGATATTGCACATGATTCCAACAACATGGCTCCTATTATAGCTGAAAAAACTTGTTTTTTGTCACATTATCTTTTCTATCACCTATGCTCTTTATTTTATAATTGTATTATTTCTTTGGATAATATTGAGCAATGTGCTTAGCTTCTCCTTAATATAAGTACAAATCCTCTCAACAACATCAAGTCTTTTCTTACTCAATGAGAGGTTTAAAATGCACCATATCAATTTGCATTGGTTTTGGCTTTAATAAATAAGTTTATGATTTTCTCAAAAATAATTGATAAGAGCTTTGTTATTTGGGTCCATATTACAAGTAAGGTTTTGGAATTTAGCAGTATATATCATGGCTAATTGTGATCTTTGTTATAAAAATAAAAACTTAATTTCTATTATTTTTTTCAATCACTTTCTCTAAATGTGATTGTAAACACTTTTAAGAATTAAATCAAACCATAAAAGAGTCTTTAATCCTTTTCCATCAAAGGTACAAATCAAGAGAGAACACTTTGAGATAGAAGTGTGTTTATGAATCTAACTTGAATAAATCAATTAGGATATTGGAAGGGATGCAATCTTAGATAGAACTTGACATGTTATAGAAATCCTTGAAATTTTGATTATGTTCCATTAAACTTCTTGTATATATTAATCCTTGCTTCTATTATGTTTATTAAAGCAAGACTTATTAGATTTGGTTGTGAGATCAATTTACTTGCTTCCCTTAACTACACAACTTTTTGATATTTTCTTTAGGCATAGGAATAGTGCTTTTGTAGTTGATATTTGTGATGTGTGAAATTTCTATCCTAAGAGTGTTGACAAGCTTGTGAAGATCCGCAATAATTACAAATCTATTCTCACTTCTATCAATTGTAGCATCCATGATTTTTCCTTCCATTTGAAACAAATTAATAAATCTACAAGTTAAATTAAAGGAAGGTAATCCACAATCTTTGATATCAAATGAAAATTTTCATAAAGAGAGGTAATCTTCTTTCTTTAAGAAAAAAAAATCAGTGTTAAAAAAGTAAATATTAGTACAAGGTGGGTAATTCATAATTTTATATATATAATAGTAGAAATGGGGTAATCCACTCACTTCTAAAAATAAGGCAAGAACAATAAATTAATATTCTTGTCAATTTATTAAGGACAAGAACTCAAAGAAGATACATAAATAAGTGACAAATGAATCAAAGAAAGATGAAAAATTAGAAATAAAAAAACGTATTCAATTAGAAATCTGAAATAGCTATTGCTAAATACTAAAAAATTAGAGACTCTTAAAATTAGACTATAAGTAAAAAAAAAGTTGACAAGAATAAAAAAGACTTCACTCTTGCCTCTATATATACTATCTATCTAAGAGCTATGTGGCATCATTCTATAGGACTTCCAACATGTATCCAATTTATAAGATACATGTCTTAACTTACAAGACAAGTTTCTTATAAGTACACTACATCATTAGTTTGTACCCCAAGCTACTAATATATGTGACACATGCTAACTTATTGGCCAAGTTTCTAACTTATTAATTACTTATAGATATGTATAAAAGAGAAACCATGTCTATAAAGCTTTTATGAAGCTTTTCAATAAGATATTATCAAGTTAATCTACTTTTACCTACTTCTATCTATTCATGTTATCTAAGTAACTATAAGTATATTTGTGACATTATGGTGTGTGATATATCAATTTTTTCTTAATATATTTTAATATTATTTTAATTTTTTTCTTAATTAATTTTAAAAACTTTCTTTTAATATATTTTTATTTATTATAAAGCATGTATTAGCTTAAATATTTTATATTTTAAAATATATACTAAGACTTTTTAAAATTTAAAATTTTTATTATATATATATTTTTTTTGTATATTTTTTTAAAAGATGTATTAATATATAATTTTTGATTAAGGTATTTTTTAAGAGCCATGTATTATATATATATATATATTATTTGATTATTTTGTTATAATGTGTCCTACTTATCTTACAAATAATTTTGATGAGGTATAATTTATAAAAAAAATTCTCTACTAAATAAACCATTATATCAAGAATATATAATATTTATTTTTAGATGCTACAAAAATATTATCAATATTTGATAAATCATATTTTTTAGTTTTTAAAAAAGTTTGTTATTTTTTAATCTATTAATGTATATCTTGATAATTTAATAAAGATTCATATTTATTCAAATTCAATCACTAAAGTATAATTTTAAACATATCTTTAAAATATAAAAGATTTATATAATAAGTTTGATTTATGTAATCAATAACAAATAAATGTTATAAAGGAAAAAAAATTATATTGATATGAAATTGGATTAATAAAACCTATAAGAAAATATGCTTTATGTAGATAATATTATATATATATATATATAGAGAGAGAGAAATAAAGAGAGATAAAAAGAATATTGATGACAACACCTCAATCTCTATCTACCACATGCCACCTTTTGTATAATATATTTCAAACCATTTGATTGAACAATTTTTTGATTAAAATTTAAAAAAATATATATAGAGAGAGTGGGTGGCAGATTGTGATGACACTAACAATTTTATTTGGTGAAATTAGCAATGCCAATATATATATATATATATATATATATGCATATAATATGCATGTACATTTATTTAGATGCTTGTATTTTTACTATTATAATTATAGATTTATTTTTTTATTTATTTTTTCCTATAATTTTATCATCTTAAAAATAATCAGTTAAAAATTTCAATAGAGAAGAAGTAAAGATTCAAAATATGAAATAAAATATGAAATGAATATAATGCAACCTATAGTCCCACATATTTTGAAACTGAAAATTTGAAAACCATTCCAAATTCTTATGTTTTTGAATTTTCCCAAGAATAAAGAAACTTTACACTAGATATTTTATCATATCAATACTATTCACATTCCTAACCAAATAATTCGTTTGAAAAATTCTACTTGTTGGAAGAAATAATAACTATTTTTACTACTAAAATCATGAGTCAATTCAATGATTCTGTACAATGAATTCAGAAAGGTTTTATTAAAAAGTAGGAATAAAATCACTTCGCATTGAAAGCAGTTTTAAAAAAAGAAGTATTTATCGAGATAGAAACAAAAATATAAGCAAAGTCCTGAAAGTTGTCGTGGTATGATCATGACAAAGACATGAAGTCCCATGACAGTGTGAACAGTATCCCCCTCCGGACTGCATTTGAACCCAGCGAGAGCGCGGGCCGGGTCCCCCGAGGGCCGGCCCGTCCCCCCTTCTCGGGCCGCGGCGGACGCGTTCAACATTTTCACTCCTCTTCACCCCGAGCTCGAGTTTTTAGGCCTCTCCTCTCGGTTTGCGTTGGTGGTGCCTGCGCTTGCTTCGCATCCAATGACTGTGCTTAAGGTCGCATCACTTCGACGATTCATGTTGTTTCTAGCTTCTCAGGTACCTATCTTCGACCTTGTATTTTATTTATTTATTTATTTTACTTATTGTCTCGTTCTTTCGTTCGTTCTGGTTTTCGGTTTTTGGACTCTGTTGTTTTTGTTTCTTTTGTTCGTTGTATGTTATTTTCGCTTTCGTAATAGGGGAATCTAGTTTAGGTGTATTTGAGGCGTTGTGTGGATATCTTGCAGCAGGTGTTGGTGACGAAGAATTGATGAGGTTGTCGGAGTACGCCACTGCGGAGGGATTGCTCTTAGTTCGTTTCGGCGCTTCATGAGTTTAGGAGAAGGTGTAATGGAAATTGGCGTTGGATCTTCGTAGCTGCTGTAGTGGAATTTATATCGTTCACGTTGTTCGTCGCTTATGGTGAGGTGTTGGAAGCCGGCGGAACTGGCGGACTTGATCTGCCAGCGTTTTGCAATTGAGGACATTAATTCTGCCATTCGTGTTAATGAGGATGCTCCTTGGGAAGTAAATCGAGTTGTGCGGTTTTGTGTATGTTGTACGATTGGATTGGAATTGAATTGATGCAAAATTGGCGTTCAAGGTTCCTGATGGCGGATTTTTATTTGCTCGGAAGTGCGTTATGGCTATGAAGCATTTTGCAGCAAGATTGAAAGGGAGGCAACATTTCAGCTCAAGAGCAGGAGCGGTGCTGCCTCCCGGAGCCGCGGCTAGTGAGTCTGAGCCGTGAACGGCACGCGCTGTTACGATTTCAGTAGACGTACACTGTTGTATCATTTCCACGCCACTGAAGACTTCTTCTTAGAGCTTCGATGTGATTTCTAAGACCTTCATCCACCTAGGGAGCGCAACACTTCTGCTGCTTTCGCGCTGTTATCCATTAGATCAATTCTTTTGCGGGTCTCTTTATCAAGCTTCAGGGTATAGACTCCACTTCACGAGCATTATCAACATGGTTGTTCAAGATCAGGACGGTGTGCTGTTTGGATGCTCAATCTTCGTTTCCACTTGGTTTCGCGCAGTACGTGCAATGGAAGTATCCAAGCTTTGGAATTCAAAGCCTGGCTGTTGAGCAGGTTAGCCTTAGGTTAGACAATGGAAAGAAGCTGACACAGCTGCCGAAGTTTTAGTATGCATTTCAGATGTGTTTTTAACTCAACTAACGTATACGAGTAAATAGGGCTTTCGAGGTGATTTATGAGGTTCGATGTCTCGTCTGAAGAAGGCTTGATGCCGGGAAGGCGGGGAAGAAAGAAAGCGTTTAGATGCAGGACCTGTTGGAGGTATCAATTCCGGCTGTGGTCTTCATCCCCTTGTTCGTAGTCTGCGTCACACTCTGGCGCTGGTATCAGTGGAATGTCCAGTCAGGCGAAATCCGGAGGGTCGAATTCATCAAATTCCAACTCTTAGCTAGAGATGAAAAGGAGAGAGCTGAAAAAGCGTACGAGGATTACAATCGACAGCAGGGGTACATTCGTCGGAGACAGGATGCTCAACAGAGGCCAGTTGATTACAGAGTCGATTATCGGAGCCAGCCAGCTGCAGGAAATGATTACCCCAGGCGTGTACAGTTTCAGCAGGATCATGTATATGGTGCTGGTGTACGGTATCCTAGGAGACAAGACGAAGAAGAAGTTCGACGGAGAAAGTGGGCTGAAGAAAGGAGAGGAGTTGGAGTGGATGAGTTTCGAATTAAACAAGCCGAAGAGTATTATCGAACAAAGCAGGCTGAGTTGGAGGTCCTCCGGAGAAAGCAAGCCGAAGCCGAGGAGGAAGAACGTAGGCAAAGGACAAAAGCTGATACCGATATCAGACTGAGACTTGCAGAAGAGGCTGACAGAAAGAGATTTGAAGCTGAGGTAGAAAGAAAGCGGCTTGCAGAGGACGAGGAAAGAAAGAGATTTGAAGCTGAAGTAGAGAGAAAGAGACTTGCAGAGGACGCGGAAAGGAAGAGAATTGAAGCTGAGGTAGAGAGAAATAGACTTGCGGAAGATGCGGAAAGAAAGAGAATTGAAGCTGAGGAAGAGGAAAAGAAGAGATGGGCGGAGATAGATGAAATCAGCAGGAAAGCTGTGCTAGAAGCTCAAGCCAAAGCATTGGGCGAGGAAAGAGAGCATATGCGAATGGAAGCAGAGGAAATTAGTCATAAAAGGACCCAAGGCCTTATTTGCAGTGTTTGTTCCAAACGAACGAAACAAAGATGTTCTAGATGCAAAGACGTACTTTACTGGTATTTCTTTTTCTTATTTTTCTCATCCTGCCTTTATGCCCATAGTACCCAATTCTCAAAACTAAACCGCAGATGATCACTTTTAAGTGCTCAGGAAATGTTGCACATCCCTCGAAGGTGTTCACTTCCTATGTCATGAAAGTGTAAAATGAGTGATGGAAGTTATGATTCAGTGTACACTGTATTCCCTCAATGGGGAATTATTTTTTACTATTGTAGCGGATGAAAATTAGTCTGGACTCATACTTGAGTGTATATTTTGTCGTTCTAAGTTCATGCTTTGTTCCTCCAAACTAGTCGATAGAAACATTCCTCTTCTTTCTCCTCTTGGATTACGAGTAAAAGCAGGTGGCAATTTGTTGGAGTTCGCTAGACAAGGAATTCTGTATTTTCCTCATGCCAATCTGGATGCTAACAATTTGGTACTTGATCCGCTTTTAATTGCGTACTTTTGGCCCGTTGCGCCACAATAATTGAGTCCATTGTCCTCTTGAGATGTCATCATTAAGGCAGGGTCAACATTATACTGCTGTGAGAACGTAGTTAATTAAAATGTATTCTTATTTATTTGTTTTGGAGTTGTTAGTGCTCACGGCTTTATTTGGTGTTTTTAATGTGTTGTTGCTGGTTTGCAACTAGGATATGTCAATTGTGTTCCCTTCTCAAGCCATGCTGTTTGTAAGGTTTTCGCTAAGGCTTTCTTGTCTTTTCAGCTCTCGAGAATGCCAAGTGAAGCACTGGAATGACGGTCATAGGGAAGACTGTATCGGACTTGATTCGAGTAGCAGCCCTGAAAGCTCAAATGGAGATTTTCGGAATTTTTCTGACGTGCTCACACCAAGGAGCTCAAGAAGTGATACGAGTGTTGATGAATCTGTAGCACCATCACTTTCGCCTGCTCTTTCTCCTGCACCCACACTTGGTATTTCTACGGTTTCAGATTCTGCCCCAGTTTCTCCTCAAATGGGTCCGTTGCTGAAGACGTTCTCAACTGTGTCAGAAGATGGACGCCGCATGAAGCCTAAGAAGGTATGTTAGACAGGGGTATCTTATTGTTTTGTTCGTGAGGTCATGGTTTATATTTTGTTGAAATCTGTGAGCAACCAGTTCCTAGAGAGAACGTTTGTGTTTTAAAGATAGACGTGGTGCGCAGTTAAGGTGGGCGAATTAAGCAGGTGGCTTGGATTCCAACTGTAAGAACTTGCACCTTTCATGAGGTAAAGGAGCGGTTCCATATCAACGGCGATGATTCCTTTATTGTTAACTCATAGCGCCTTAAAATTCCCATTTGTAGACATATTTGGTTGCTGTTCCTCAAACGTCTCCTGTGACCCTGTGGTTTATGCAGGTGCTCTATTTGATGTCTTAGAATTCTGATTAAGCAGACTTTATGCGGCATAGTGTAGATTTTTACGCAGACAGTTTGGATTGGCGTATCCCTTTAGATGTTCTAATAGCTACTTAAATCTCCGTCGTGCTACACATTTCGTAGGTGATGTCTGGTTAGAGATTGTGTCTGGGGCATTTCTACTGGCGTATTATGGAATCTTTTGTTGGCCGTCGGTTAATATTAATTACGCGAGGATTTCTTTTTTCTTTTATTTCCTTTTTTTCCTCGTTTTATTTTTTGGTATGCATGCAAAATTAAGCACTGTCTTTCTTTTAAATGGAGAGTTGAACTGAGTGTATCATAGGTAGGGAGTCATTTCTATAAAAAATAAAAAAATGGAAAAGCATTAAAATTTCTTCTGCTTCTTCTTCTTTCTCCTTCCGTTTTAAAGGTCTTCGTTGTGTTGTTTTTTGCTCAGATATTATTTCCTTATGACGACTTTGTAGTGCTGTTCGACGCGAATATTGAATTTCTTCCTTGTGGTCTGCTGAATTGTGGAAACAGGTACTTCTGATCTTTCAACTACCAACGGATATCTCAGGATGCATTAATAATACTAGAGCTTTTCTAAATTTATTCTGATATTCCTGCCCTTGTAGGTAAAGTAAAGTGACCTGTTAGGGCTTGGTTTGTGGTAACGTGGAATATTCTGTTTGTAGTGTGTCAAGCTAACGAACCTAACGCAACGTGAACCTGATTATGCATCAATCGCGTTAATGTTAGTTCGGTCTGTGCAGCTGCTTCGTTAATGCCGTTTTACAATGTTTCACATATACGCAGCCTTTGGTTGCCTACCTGCTTTCTGGAGATCATGGTAGAAAATGTAAGTGTCTTTTTCGACAGTGGAAGTTTGATTTCACGAACTTCTCTGAGCTCTCAATTTCGCTGTTGAATGCCGCATACGATTTTGTGAGTGGGGAGCGGCTTCCTTCAAAATACATTGTTGTGAATTGACATTCTTATCATTCTATGCAGGCAAGAAAACGGATTGGTGTTTTATATGTGCTCTGCAAGAACATGCTGTTAAAGTGAAGCAGCGCATACCGTTTTCCCCATCTGGAATACTTTCACATCTTAGGAGTATTGCTAGAGGTCTTAATTACGGCAACCAAGAAGACGCTCATGAGTTTATGAGGTTAGATTTGTTTATATCGCCTTTTTGTTGTTTGAAATTGACAATGGATTTGTTTCTTAGTATTCTTTCATGAAGCAGTTCTGAGAATTCTTTGTTTTATTCCTCAACAAGATCAGACAGACTGCATTTTGTTATTTTTTTTGAGCATGTAGTTCTGGATTACAAGAAAAAGGTTTATTTCACTTTGTTATGTGACTAGCATGTTTTTAAAAGCTTCTAAGTCGGTTTTAAAATATTAATACTGGCCACCATTTGATGAGGTGATGTGGCTGTGATAGCTCTGCGATTCACCTGATGCAATCTATCTGCCTTGATGAAGCTGGTGGAGAGAAGGGTGTAGATTCTTGTACTCAGCAGACTACCTTTACCCACCATATATTTGGTGGGCTTTTGCAATCACAGGTAGAGGACTATAAGGTTCTATGATCGCGAGAATTATAACCTGAGAACCAGAAGGTTGTGGTTTTATTATTTGCAAGTGAGTGTTGAAGTTGGACCTTAAGGCTGCAGGATGAAGTGCTGACTTATCTCAGTTGAATATCAGTCATGAAGCTATTAAGGAAATGTTAGATTCAATCAAATATGACTTTATTTCTTCTACATCCAAAATCTGAAATCCTACTTCATTTCCCTCATTCCTCTATTTGGAAACTATGTGTCTATCAAGCTCTAGGCTTTACCTGAGAAAGCGAAAAGTAAAGATGCTGAAGCTCGTATAGTTGTCACCAAGTAGTTCAAAGCCTAAAATTTAATCTTCTTTAGAAATTATACCAGGGTGTGCTCTATTACTTTACATGAGATATATGGAATTTGTGACACACTTTTTTGAAGCTTTTCTGATTCTAAATTTTTCTCCTCAGCAGGATTGCAACGTTTATTGCATTAGTGGATCAATTTGAATGACCAATGAGGATTTTGACTCTATTATGCGCTATTGGACTCGCTTGCAGGTAAAGTGCAATCAGTGCCATCTTCAATCTAATAGGTACGAAGTCATGATGGATCTTGCCGTGGAGATCCCGGGAAATGTCAGATCACTTGAAGACGCTCTTGGAGTATTTACAGCTCCTGAGATATTAGATGGCGAGAACAAGTACAAGTGTAACCGGTTCGTCCTGTACTTAATACCTGAATATTTTGTGATCGAGGAAGTGATATAGAATCCATGCAATGTTTTCGGATGATTTATCCTGAAATGGAGCCCTTCTAGAAAGGATTATCTTACCTTCCATGAATTCCCTGTTTTAGAATGAACCAACTTTAAATCCTTTAATGTGGGTGCACTATGAGGTTCTAAACGCTGATGAAACGAGTTTGGTAAGATACAATAGACGCACGTCACATGTTTGATTACGTGATGTATTTTCGGTACTTTGAGGTTGAAGCACGTGGACAAGTTTCACAAGTTCAGATTGGAATTTACTTCTGATGTGTGAAAACAAAACAGTTGTGATGCATATGTGGACGCCTACAAGCAATTAACTGTGCATGAAGCCCCTAACATCCTCGTTGTTACCCTTAAGCGATTCAAGGTATGTCCATCAGTTTCTTATTTCTTGCTGACAATTATACGTTGCAGTTAAAATTGTTGAATACATCTGTCTCTGTTCTTGCTGGTCCAATATTCAGTTATGTTCGCATACTAGATACCGATGTACCTTCAACCTGACTTTAGATTTACTGGTGGTTTGATGTTCTTGCATGAAGAGGAATGTGACGCACAAATTAACCGGGAGTGTTTGCTATGAGTCCTTACAGGGTGGTAGATATGGGAAGTTGACGAACTACGTCGCATTTCCTGAAGTTCTGGACATGGGCCCGTATATGAGTGGGAATAGAGGCCTCACTCCTGTCTACAATCTTTATGCTGTTGTTGTCCATGCGAGTGTATCGAACGCTGCACATAATGGGCATTACTTCTGCCTAGTGAAGAATCCCAATGGATATTGGTATCGAGCTGATGATGCCAAGGTATTCAGCTATGCTTTAGTGCTTTGCACTTCGTGAATGTACTGCGAGTGAGGTGTTGCAGGAGAGGCAATTTTATTACTACGTTCTGCATATTTACGTAAACCCAAAAAATTTCGTCACTTTTCTAGTTGCTGGAACGCGGCTAACACAAGAAAGTGTCGACAAGCTAGAAATCAATGGTGTCACTTTTCTGGTTCAGATGTATTTCTTTTCTGCAACTATTATCTCTAATTGTCAGTATTGGTTGGAACAGGTGACGGAAGTTGGTGTAGACTGGGTAACGTCTCAGGAAGCTTACATACTTCTTTACAAGAGGTACCGTGAATTTTAAAAAAGTCACTTTTTGAACAGTCTATGGACATTTTCTGTTGAGTACTTGCTTTGCAGTGATTAGGTTGTAGTGTCCACCACTGCCATATTAGAGGTGTGTATGGTTTATGATCCAATAAAGAAGTAATAAATCTGTTGTATTGTGCTGACAATGAAACTTGGTACTCCTGCTGCTCCGTTATGTCCAGTCCCCTCGTTCTGAACTTCATTCTCTTGTTTTCTTTGCAGGTCGAGATCACGGTCCGTGGATTTTGAGGATGATACTCTTGATCAATTGAGTTTCGTTGCACAGGATGAGTACGTGCGTACTGTGTTAGCATCGCATCCTCAACCTCAGTACATGTCCGTGCGTATGCCTTCTTGGGCCTCCCCTATTACGGATCCTTTTGATACTCCCTACCATTATAGGTGGTATTAGATTTCTGTCTCTCGTAGGGAAACATTCTATTTTGACCGCATTGTATCTACATCTAACCATGGAAGCTCACTAGCGACCTTAAATAACATGAGAAAGCTGGAACTTCATAGACTGTAGATGATGACTGATAATCATTAACAAAACAGGTTTGAGTTTATTGGAAAATCCTTGATGATCTATTGCGTGGATTACTTATAATCTGGTATTGATTGATTGATTGTAACATAAACTACTGCATTGTCGTGCTCTACTTCAATTCAAATTTAAGTATGGTACATCAATGGTTTCCTATCCCTTCAGTAAGTCATGTGTAATTTATCCAAATGAATCACCCTTCCATCGTAGTCTTCAGTTCTACCAACGGTATGAAGGAAGGACCTTTCATTTTGTCATAGATGTTGAAGAGCTTGTTAGAACAAAACTTACTGAAAATTAACACCACTGAAATGGCTAAACCTATGCCAGGTCAAGGTGGTGGTATTATGTTGATATCTAAAGAATACTTTATTTCAATTTTTTTACAGATTTTTTTTTTTTTTTTTTTTTTTTTAAATAATAACTTTTAGTAGAATATCTTAATATATTTAATCTTGGAATAAAATCCTTTTTGTATCAAGGTTTTCATTTTTTTGATCAATGTAATCAAACTAATGATTGTATCTATGCAATCAAACTAATGGTTATATCCATGATTGTAACAATCTTTTTCAACAATATTATTAAACCTTAGCATGTGTTGTTTATTACTGATCCGAAATACATCATACATGTGTAAAATTAATATTTTAAAAATATCCCAATTTTATCAATTTTATTTATAATATTAAAATACTTTATTTCTTACTTTTTCTATAGATTTTAATTAATATTAGATATATAATTAATTTACATTTAAAGTTTTAAGATAGCATTATTTTGTTATATAATTTGATTCTATTTCAAGGTGGTCTTACCTTGTTCTTTAAATTTTAGAATAATTCCAAAGCTTCATTCAATGATTTTAATATTTTTCATGGTGCAATTATCTCTAGAAGATTTTGCTATGAAACACAATCAATCCTTAAATCATGGTTTTCATAACTTAAAATCTTAAAGTTTAATCTATATTATTATCTTATAGCTTCTATACACTTTAAGTTTTCATGGAACATACTTTAAGACTACAATATCATATATCATTTATAATTACTACATACAAAACCTAAATTTTATTGCACCTAAAATATATAAACTCACATATACATACATGCAAATATACATATATATAGTAAGATTTTAAGATTATAATATTTTAAATACTTTCTATTACTATAACAATATACATATGGTTTTATTATTATCTAAAATTTTAGGTGTATACATATATATATATATATATATATATATATATATATATATATATAATTTTATTAAAGCCTACATTACTTGCATAGCATTTTATCAAATGATTAAAATAACCTACAAATAATTTTTTTAATAATCCAAAAATTATATATCTTATATTAATATACATAAAATATAATTAATATTTTATATAAATTTCTATTTTCTTTATCACATAAATCTAAATTATTATAAATAAGTTTTTGAATATTGTATTAAAAACACTTTTTATTTATTGCAATTCTACTAAAGGTTGATTTTATTTAATTTTTTGAAACCATTTTGTTGCAATTCAATATTTAAACTCAAAATAAACCAAGGCTTCTAAATATTATATATATATATATATATATATATATATATAGTTGTCACTTCCACAATTCGAATTTGTTGTAGCTCTTGTAGAAACTTGTAGGCATTAATATGTATTAAATTTTGTAGATCCAAGAGAGAAATAGTAACTTAAAGGACATATAGCTTCTCTATCTAAGTTAAAGAATTGAGAAAAAATAAAATAAAATAAAAATAATAGGAGAAAAAAAAGAGAAGATGATAGAATGAGTTAAAAATTGATTTGTTCAATTGATGATCTTCTTACAAACTATACAGTTCTTTTTTATATATACATATTTTTTCTCCAAATACTAATTTATTAATATTTTTCTATTAAAAATTTATTAATTAACTAAATAGTAAGCCAAAATTAATTAATTAAATTTCTAAAAACTAATTTGATGATTAATAACCTTTGATAATAAGTTTTGTTTTTGCAATAAATAATATTAATTAGAAATAAATAAGTATTTAAATCTATATAATCAATAAATTATATTTTATTTTAATTATATTTTTAAATTCAAAAAATTAAATTAAAAAACTAATAGCAATTAATTAATATAAAATAATATAATTAAAAATAAAAGGATATTTAAATAAATAAATAAATGAATAAAAATTATTTATTTATAAATATAACTTTTAAAAAATCCAAAAATTAATTTCATAATTTTTTTGTATTATAATATTTTTAATTTTAATTTTAAATATTTTAAAATAAATATTTGGCTAATATAATTTTACTTAAAATATGTTTTAAAATCTTCATTGAAGTTTTGTTAAGGACATGAATAATAAAAAAAATCTTAAAAAGAAATACACTCTTGTGACATTCAAAAAGAGAAAGTAGATAAATCAAAAATAGATAAAAGATAGAAATTAGAATAATTATTACTATATACAAAAAAAATTAAAGATTAGAGCATAAGAAAGACGTTGATAAGAATGAAAAAGACTTCACTCTTGCTTCTATATATACTATCTAACTAAAAAGCAACATAACAATGTTCTAAAGATCATCTAACACTTGTCCAACTTATAGAAAATATGTCTAACTTGCAAAGCAAGTTTTTCGTATGTACATTAAATAGCCAACTTAAACTATACATAGCCAATATGTGTAATATGTGGCTAAATTATAAACTAAGTGGTCAACATGTGCAATAAAGGGCTAATTTTTTGGCCAAGTTTCAACCTATTAATCACATACAAATACTAATAAAGTCAAATCCGCATCTACAAAGCATTGAAGAATATTCTCTACAAGATATTATCAAATTTACTCACTTTTACTTCTACATAACTCTTCTTATTCTCCCAATTACTAATGCCAATATAGATGTCTATGATATTATCCTTCCTTCTAGGGACAAGTTCTACAAGGAATAATGATTATATGTTGAGAAAGTTTAAGATGCAATGAATTATGTTAGCTACATATTTTAATGTTTTTTCTCTTTAATGATAGTTAATAGGTCTTGAAAGTTAAAAGTTATAACATAGGACATTGGAAATATTTCTAAAAGTTTAATATAGGACTTTTAATCTTAAGATATTTTTTAAATTTTTTTTTTTTAAGATACACCTAATTATATAATAGATATGTCAAAAGAGTCTTTGTTAAGTATATTTTTTAAAATTAATAAAAAGAATAAATATTTAATTTTCAAAAAATATAGGTTTTTAAAATAAAAATTTATGAAGATCAAATCTATTTTTTTAAACCATAAATGAAATTTTATTTTTAAAAATACACTATTCATACAAAATAGATTAAAACTTTTTTTTAAAATAATACCTAAGTAACTCCTTCATAATATTTTTATTAATCTTAAATTTTTTAAAAATAAAATTAACATAAAATATATAGTATAAATATTAACTAAATTATAAATATTAGATATGCTAACATGAATATAATCTATTCTAAGTGTGCATTTAAAAAAATTGGCACCTGATTTGGATGAAGCATTTTGTTTTTTTTTTAAAAAAAAAGAAGCAAATGACATGATATTTTTCAAGAATAGTCAATGATCTTAGATATTTTTAATTTATTTTTAAATATTAAAATATATTAAAATAAATTTCTAAGGATTCTTTCTTATTCATGTTATAGAAAGTAAAAAGATGAATATATATATATATATTGTTAAAAAAATAAGCTACATAGATTTTATTTCATATTATTTTTTGCTTAAAAAATGAATTTATGTAAAAATTCACCATATGCTTGTGAAAAAAATACAAACTTCCATAATGAAACCAAATAACATATTTCCTTCTATCTCTTTGTAGCTGGAGTCTACATATGTTAGCATATTTGATTAAGTCAAATAGTATTGATAGTCAAGCTTTATTAGGATAACTAGATGTCTTTTGAGAGCAGTTGGCATAAGATGGTAATGGATAAGTCATTACAATATTAAGAATATATATATATATATATATATATATATATTTGAAACAAACAAATGAAATTCTTTTACAAATAAAGGTTAAATTACAAGTGCCTCAATGAGGTCTAAAAAGAGTAAAATAATACAACCTATATCAATTTCTTGAGACTAGGATTAAGGTTTGGTCACTTTTAATTAAAATGATTGATTTACCATAACACAAAGATCTCATTAATGCACCAATTTTTTTTAAAATTTTCAATATACTTTGCTAATCCTATTTGTTGTTTCTGTCAACATGTTTAGATCTTAATCCATGATAACTAACCATAATCAATCATATTCAACTAATATTTTTTATGAAATTGAATATAGTCTAGTAGACCTTATAAAAAGTTGTGTCATTTCTTTCCACCAAAAGGCACCAAGTGATGGTTCCTTTGAGCAATAACCATTGAATTATGAAGGCATCCAATAAGCAAAAATATCTCATTTTGAACTAAGAAAGAAGGTTGTGTCTTAGTATACCAATATTCTACCTGCTGCAGAAGGTGTATGTAATTCCATATCAAACTAAGAACCTTATGAGATCAAATCACTAAGAAGATGACTTAATAATTGTATGTTGTTACTTCCCATGCGTAAACTTGCCTCATGGATGAATATTCCTAAAATTGATAGAAAGTTATTTTTCAAGTACCATTTATGCATATGGATCAATATCAATCAACCTTGGCACTAATTCTCTATCTTCATGTATTTATTGCAACTATCCTATATCAAAATAGCTACAACATATGAATTTCTTTCTTTATCCTTTCTTTGTTTTAAATATTATACCAATGTAATTTATATGTAGAAGATAGATTTTTTGCCCACTTATATTTAACAATGGATAAGATCTTATGTTGATGATATAAAAACAATTATCTAAACTTAGCTAAATATTCCATAAACAGTGTGATTTTATTTGTTTCAAGTATACGATTGTTATTCAAAGCAACCTTCTCTACTTATAGCAACCAAGATCTCATTCAAGGTAATAAATCTTTCTATAAAAAAAAAAATGTGCTTAATTTTTTTAGTCCTTGCTTGACTTCTATTATCTACACTTATCTACATATTCCTACTACATTAGATGCCATGTCCCTCTTTTAGGCAATATAGCAGCCGAGCGCTACTTGGACTTTTTTTTGTACTATTGTGAGAGTAGACAATGTGGTCATGACCTTATAGGTCATATTTTGTAGAAGTATATAAGATTGCATCTACTCCACACACTACTAAAATGTTGTAGTGGACTTATACATCATGAGAAGAATCTTGTTGTTATATGTATGATATAGCCCCATCTACTCACCAAGGAATGTAAAGAAGATTGTTATCCAAATCAATAATCTCCACAATTGTTGAAAAAATGTTTAATGTTCCATTTCATGCATCATTGTAGTTGGTTGCAAGGCCAAATTGTGCTTGCATTTCTTTGAATGAAAAAAAAATGATTGTCAATCTATATATCTTAATACTTTTGTACTTCACTGTGATGGAATATTACAGCACAAGCTTTTGAGAATCCAAGACCAATGAGGACAACTAGTGGGCAAAATCATACGTAGTAATTCAGTAGCTCCTCAAAGCACATTGGAGAGATAAAAGTTAACTATGGTAGAAGAGCTTTCTATGCAAATAGCATTATATTCCATAACTTTGAGCCTTGTCATCTTTAATGACTTTATTATATAAAAAATTCTAAACTAAGTCTCCAGCAGTTATCTTTGTATGGTTAAAAATTTTGTAGCTGATATTACAAAAGCATTTATAAATAAGAGTAACCTAACTCCATAGCATTAATAGGCCATTTAGTCATTTGAGCTAGCACTGCATCTGCAAGGTCTACCAAATTAAGACCATTGTTGTACCTTTGTTGACAATACTATACCTAACTCACCTTAGTATAAGATTGTTGAGTCCATCCTCTTGCCAAGTAGTTCCAAAAATATTTATTTACTTTTACTATGTATCTTTTGGTTCTACCTTAGATTGAGAGAAAGAGAATATGGTTGAAAATAATATAATATTAACAACCATGCTTCATCCTATAGAGTTAATTTATGTTGTATACTAATGAATTAAATTTTTATTGATATATTGTTATAAAAAAGTGTTATCTACCGTGGCTAGAGAAGTGCCATAAAAGGCACTCAAAAGTTTATCTACCTAGCTCTCTTCTACCCATGTCATTTCCAAATGCTTTGTACACTATGCTTTAGGTGAGCCATTACTAGCCTTCTTGTATCTTCTAGACTTACTTTAGTTAAGTACAAGTATAGATGCAACACAAAATATGTCTAAGACATATATCATATAGCATACTATGGCTTTCTCTCCTAGCAGAGTTAATAAAATATCATTTGCATATTGTGCTACAATTTGCTGCCCCAAAGCATATTGGGAGCTTGATGACTTGCACAATACCAATTGCCACTTCAGTTTTGATTGTAATATTTAAAACCTCCACAATAATGATGAAGAGGTAGGAGGCATGTGGGCACCCTTGCATCACCTCTTGTTTAATTTGGAAAGGTTGTGACATTGCACCATTGATTTTGACGCTTACCAAAGCATCACCATGGGGGTCCCAAATATAGCTCAACTGTACAATAGTTACAAGTGAAGAAGCTTGACACAATAGCTAATTCAAGAGTGGTATGATGCTACCACTGACCTGAAGGGAGTGTGCCACCACTCCTCTCAAATGTTTGATGGTTTTTATCTGACCTCATTCTTTTCTTGAGTTGATTTTGGCAAGCCTGGCATAATAATGATGAACAGTATTGTACAGCTCAAGCCTGGATAATCTATGATACGAAGGCATGTCAGACATCTTAGACTTCATGCTGTGCGGTCCAGACGGTCGTGCCTCTCGTGAATGGTGTTCAAGGAGTCAAACCGCATTGACATTGACTGTGTTCCAGTAATCTTCTTGGCATTGCTGGGCTCTACTCTGCAGGACTGGCTGCCACTGGCACCCCCACTGGAGGCAAGGATGCTGCGATGATTTTCAGGTGACCCATCGGTGGCAATTGGTTGCCCTTGGCGAGACAACGTCTTGAAATCTTTCTTTGAACCTTCTTCCCTAAAGGATTGAGTGGCGGAAGTGTCAGTTTCAGATAATGGTAAAGAACCCGGGTCCCGTTCGAAGCTGTACGCTGAGACGTAATCCACCTTGCCACCCTTACTTTTCCTTGGGTTCTTCCGCCGTTTGGGGAGATTAAACTTGGTCAACCATGTTCTATTCTTGGAGTTCTGCTTCTCAGGCATATGAGATTGCAATATCGGGGTGCTACTAAGTGTTGCCTCGTTCAGTTCGTTCGAGATACTCGACTTCCCTACCGCTCCCCCCACGAGGGATAATTGCGGGCCTTTGATCTCGGATTGTGGGGCTCCAGTGCAGCCCTCATTGATCTTCTCATGAAAATTGTTGCGTCTCGTATGAGCCAGGTCAGGTGTCTTCAGCAAAAAATTATCTGGATCCTGGACGCTATGGACGGTTTCCAGCTTGGTGCTTGAATCCAGATTCAGAGGCTCACAAGGAAGCTCAGTCTCACGAGGCTCTAGAGATGCCATGTCAGGAGACAGCTGCAAGTTCACTTTCAAAGAGCCATGATACACCTTTAGCTCTGAGGAACAGTCTAAGCTGCTGGAGTATCCAGAATGCTCACCCTGTATCATTTCTCTGTCCGGTGGAGACTTGTCGTGGGAAGAAACCTTGCTGATGTTACGCGCCTTTCTCAGAAGGCGCTTCATCGATTGCTTCACTTTAGAATCCGACATTGCATGGGGTTCGTTGCTGCTGGGTGCACCCTTAGATTTTGACTTGGGCTTCCGTGTTCTAGTCCTCGGAGGATCGAGGGAGAAATATAAAGATTTCTCTTTTTCAGGAAATTGGATTGAGACGGCGCCATCAGGAATGTTATGAATTTTAATAATTTCAGTGCTGCCACCATCAGGCTCACTTGGTTCGGAGGTAACATGTGCGAGACTTCCAGTTTCAACCTCGGTGGAACTATTTCCTGTATGTGTTAGTGGATTGGCCTTGACCCCAAGTGCTTGACTTCTCGTGGTGGCGGCAGAATCAGGTGGTGTGATGCTTGCTATGTCCTGAGTTTGAGTCTGCTATACGCAGAAACAGAATTACTCCATTGCTACGCGCGGAAAAGGACTGGCTAGGAAAATCAATAGTAGAGTACCAACTACATCAAGAAAAAAAAAAAAAAAAAAAAAAAAAGGAAAAAGAAAGAGATCCTCCAGCCACAAATTTGTTAAGTACCTGAAATTCAAAAGTTGTACGTGGTTCCTCATGACTCTCAGAACCGCCACGATGTTCCACGGTGACTGCAAACTTTATCCAACCCACAGTCTCCTTATCTCTTTCGAGCGGTAATTTCCTTTCTTTGCGTTCACCGCCCTGGAATTCTTTCACTGGAGTGCTACATATCCTGAGCACGTACAAAGATCGCTAACTTACACCTCGACAACATGCAAAGAAGTGTGAAAACATTGCAGTAGAACACATGGACGCGCCACTAAGAACATTTTCCACAAAAACAGATCACAAAATTCTCGGAACAGGCGAATGGAAGGAACTAACTTGCCCCTACTAGATTGAGTATCTTCATGTAACAACAAAAGATGGTCCTTGAAAGATAGATACATGTCCAGCAACTAAGCTTGAAATCGAGAAACGTACCCAAGCTCAACTTGACCTCTCCAGCTTTTGTGTATCACCCGTAAGATAAGGATGTTTGAATACTCCCAGTTCTCTATGGGAAAACGATGTTTCTCATCGGTCCATACTGGGTTGATCGTCTTCGGTCTCGATTTGGTTTTCTGTATATGAGACCTCAGTGATAACTCAACAATTGGATCAGGCAAACCTGCAGAGACAACACAAATTGAGCTCAGAACTTCAACGAAAAGAATAGGTCTGTGTCAATAATGGCGGGCATTTGTTGATAAACAGTAGCTGCTTACGTAAAAGTTCAACAGCAAACAAAGAGACAAGACCATGTTAAGCTCAGGGATGTCACAAATGACGCGACAGTAGTAGTGAGTAGAACAGAACAGATTGGGATCTATTTTACCATTGGCTCTTCCAGCCTTCAGATCACCAGCCTCCAAAATCTCAACGAGCACTGTAAAATCTGACCTGTGCTCCACACTAAAAAAGTCTTGCAAGCCTGTCACAAAGTATTCACCCTGTTATTTACCCCTGAACAACGTTTGTTGATAATTGCAAGCATTAAGAACTATCCAGTAAATGCTCTTACAAATGAGGGAAAAGGCCGTTTTTTCTGGACTCACCCTGCGATGGTTTAGGTTCAGAAAACATCATGTTGCTCACAAGCTTTTCCATATCGATGACTAACATGTATGGCTGCACAAACACCACGATATTTCACTAAGCATCTGAATGTGATTGGAGCGAATCTGGACAGAATGAAGTCTCTTCTCACACCACAACCTATGAATTCAAACCATTGAACGATCTATTTAATCTGTATACTGCCGATTGCAAGGAATATGTGTAATCACGCGAATCAAGTGTAATAAACGATAATGCCATGGACATACCTCAACGACTGACTCCTCAAGAGCTCTGCCTAATGTTTCCTCCTGGTCCATCATGTCATCAAGCACCCCCGCATAATTTTAGGGTCTGAAATGAAATGATTGTTGACAAGTCTAAATTGATTTTTAAATAAATGACTGGTTTTAGTTTCTTTGAAAAGAAATTAAGAAATTTTATGAAGTACTTCACTAGATTCTATTCAAAACTTCAAAAAATATAATAAAAATTAAAATGAAAGAAAAAAAAGAAAGAAAGACAAGGCAATGCAACTAAGTAAAAAACAGTGAGCAACTGAAAAGCTAAAAAAGTCTGCAAAGCAGTGTAGTACCAGCCAGCTTTTAGCTCCTGGAATGTAACCCATGTAGAGACCGTATCCCCGTGCGTCCATATTCACAGTGGGAGCGTTTGCAAAACAGAACTGTATTCGACCTAGAACTGGCCAACCTCCCACAAAGTTCAACGAAAACTTGACCTGAGACATACATGTATAATGATCAGTGCCGTGAAAGCAGCTGTGCTAACAAAGGATACAGGAACATCCTCAAGGCAACGTGGACATCAAGAAGAGAGAATAATTGGCTACAATCACAATGGAGAGGACAGAAAAAGACGCCAGACTCTGATAATTTGAATGCACACAAAGAATCGGGGATTGTAGCTTATAGAACAGAAGATCTTGTACACACCGTCCCCTTAATGTACAGTTTTGAGATGTAAAAGGTGATTTTGACGCCACTTATTTCAACAATCAACCGAGCTCCCATAACCTCGTCAGACAAAAACTCCATTTGCGCCTCAAAAACCTGCAAAGTAAAAAAAGATTCAAAACACCGTAGTCTTCTCATCTTATATCAGCACAAGACTACGAATGAGAATCAGGAGAGAAGACCCGTGACAAATATGGCAAGCATTTATCCACATGGATGCGCATTGCAGGGCATAAGAAGAAGATTACCACTTCTTCTTTGTCTTGGGAAGATTGCAGTACATGAATAAGTCTGAAAAATGGTGGCGTGTTTCCTAAATGAAGAGAGTTCATCGTCACTTTCGTCTGCAAGCACCAATCTTATGTTATCAGGAGCTGTTGATGACTACCAAAGCAAAAGCCAACAATTACGGTGCAGGTATAAACTAAAACTTTTATCACAAAGTTGAGGTATTGTTCATATCTAGAACATTATTCTACTAGAAGACATACAAGCGACCTATGATTTAATCTGCCCACAGTCGTCAATTAGATCAGAAGTTAAAGCTACAAACCACATATTTGGGCTTGTATCTGTCCAAAAACCACGGCGCCATGGGTGTGAAGAAGTTCTGTGACGCAAATTTTTGCATACATACTGGCCACATGACCTTCAAGCTTTCGTTCACCCAACGTAGAGTCTCGCCCTCGCTCATTACCTGCACTGGGAAAAATGATCAGTTCAAGTCCAGTACACATTTTAAATAGTGTACAACTCGAAAACTGGAGTCTCAAAAACAGCCACCCCGTTGTTTGCGTGTTTTTATTGTTTCAGAAATAGAACGATGCTTGAGGTGGGACAGTGGAATAGGTGTGCATACCCTTTTTGTGTTGCTTCTCTTCCTTTCTTCGAACAGTATCCGTCGCCTCTCACTCTCAAAATACTGCTTCTGAACCTGCAATCCACAGCCAGAATTTTAGAAAAACAATGTCTGAATCTTAAACTATAGCAGCAGAGACTCGTTAAGAGTGAGCTGCAGTAGCAGAAATATTTTTGAAAAGACCCAAGCTTTTCTTTCCAAACTTAAGAGTCCAAGAAGTATCCCCTGTAAGCATCTATTTATCTTTGGCACGTTCAAAGTGAAACTCTCGGAACTACGACTGGCGCTACCGAAGCCGTTCCTTCTCAGCTCAGCATCAAGAAATTCACCGCATGCGGTAACAAAGTCAGGCACTCACCCAAGAAACGTAGCAGATGAGGAGAATCGCTATGAGCCAGTTGATGCCCAAGATGAACATCAGCAACACAATGAAGAGTACTGGCACCAGCTGGGGCATGGGAAACAACTGATCTATCACCTTCCCCGCGGAGGGGGAAGCCTCCTCTTCAACTAGCCCTTCCATGCTGCCAGCGTCTCTGTATGACAGCCAAAGAGGAGCCTTCCTTCACTTCTTTCAACTCGACATTCGTATTAAAATCCGTCTCTTTCAACCAAAAAAGAAACCCACCTACGTTCTAAAAGACACTTCAAATAAAAAAAACTGCGGAAACTACGTGTTTGCTTGCAGAAGTCATACCAGAGAAAGGATTCAGTATGAACTCCAACGGGAATTCTGAATTAAAATGAAAGTTTGGGTGCTTTCTTGAATCTCGTGGCTCCTCCACCTCGGCTCAAAATTCCACACTGCGGCAGAAGTGGCCAAGGCCAGGAATGCCTATGGCGGCCTCATCGAAACCATTCACTCTAGCAAGAAATCCAAAACATCGTCGTGTTCCAAAGCTCAGCTGCTGTAAGGATTATGGCTTTGCCCTAGGAATGCGCGCGAATTTCTGGAATTCAAGAAAGTCCTGAAGAGATCACACGAACGAGAATATCGCATGAGGCTAAACCTCGAAGATGATTATGTTGCTTCTAGTTGTCTTCCCCTAACGGTATTTTCCCCCACCAAGCGTGAAAAACCTCACTACTGTCCTCTTTTGCAGCCAGTACTACTCCTGACGTGAGTGGCAAACTTCCGAACCCGACACAGAGGTCCGTATGTCCACAACACCAGGAGGGGCGAAATCCTCACAAACAGAGGAAACAACAACTGGACTGTACTCAATTATATCTGAAATTCCCTCTAATATCCTCGTATCTCGTAATCACCAATGATTTCTACGACAAGCAAAGCTCAACACAGATGGTTGTGGCAACACAACGCTCATACCTACGCCCCCTCGAACACTCCACTGCCTCCGCATCACTCACTCGCACAAAACAAGAACACATTCCATCAACCGAAAAAACACATACTCTTCTCAACACAAGCTCATCCACCCATTCGCTCACACACGCAATACTCTCTACAATAATCGCTCAGTAATCTCTCAGCTGCTTCCCACCACACACGAACGTCCAATGTAGACCTCCGAAGCACGCAAACAACCACTACCCCGTCAAGTTCGCGACGCAACCCCTCGCATGGATTAGCTCCGAAACTGCAAAACCCAGTTCCGTTTCCCAATCTTCATCAAAACTAAACAAACAACCCCTCGATCCCAATAGTTCGACCCTCTTTCCACCCTCTACTGGTCTCCCACACTGCAAATCTGCGACTAGCTTCAGGCACCAGCGTTCTGAGGGCAGTACAACGCCGACACAGGCACGCAGATTGGGAGCAATTGCGGCTGCACGACGTGCGAGTGTGAGTTCAATTCATCATCATCAAAGCCCGCATTCCGATGATTGGCCTCACCACACGACCACGCTCATAGACGAGCCTCGAGATTCTACCACGGATGATTTCGACTACACTTGCAGATCGAGGTGTTAGATACCCTCCATCGGTATTTGAGCTCCTCGCTTGTGGGGCCTTTGGTGTGCTTCGTGCTGGTGTTGGGTTCCTCGTTCTGGTCAGGAGGCCGCGGTCGTGGGACGGGGGTAAACCATCGCTTGATGTCGAAAACAAGCAATTTCCGACGAGACTTGGCCTCCCACGCGGGGTTTTCGACGGTTACCCCGTAGTCATGTCATTTGTCGGGAGTGCGTTGCTCAGAAACGACCGACCAGCGACAGACAAAGCGCAAACGGAATCATTCACGCTTTCGTCCATTGCTCGTCGAATACGCCACCATGTCTATCGGAATCTAACACGAGGCTTGCCCTCGGCAAGTTCGTTCGTCAATACTTGCCTCTCAACCAACTTACCTCCGTTACCGGAGGTGCCTCCTGCAATATTTGGCTAGTAAATTATCACGTCACCATTACCCCAGTGATACTCTTTCCTGCGCAAACATCTCATGTCGATGAGACTCTGCTTCGTTTCCTGGATTCCATTCTCACACGCGTCTTTAGTGGGGGATTGGCATTGCAAGGGGCTTCTCGGGCATTGCTGGAACAGTAATCACAGAACCCAGTTTTCTTTTACCAGTTACTTAATCAGCGTGCCCGTGTGTCTGCAGAATTTGCACTAGGAGAGTTTCGCGATAGATTTCACTGTTTTGGGGATCAGTAGGATTTAATTCCTCGTGCGCCGAACAATAGGGGAGCCCCTCCGTGGAACACTCGAATAAGGATGAAGCAAAAATCACGTTTAGGCAGAACATTTCTAGAGGTGTGAAAGCGCGTCCAAGGCAGGATGAAAGGAATAAAACTATAGTAAAAAAAACAACAATAATAAAAAATATATATATATAAAAAAAGAAAATGAGACTTAAGTTGTGCGCTTATTGGAGTGGGGGAGTATCCACAAAATAAAGATGGGGCCCTTTTATACATGAGCGCGGCTCTTGGCCTTTGCTTTTGTTGTTCCGTGTCGCACCCAATGCCTTTTCGTGGAGCTTCATTCACCCACTTTCTCGATCACCCACTATTAATCCGTCCATCACACCGTTGCAAAAATTTCCGAAAAACTTATGTATATCAAACTTATGGTGGTGTTTCATTTACTAGCTCTCCCATTTGGTAACCTGTCAGGCTCTATTTTTTGCTCGAGACATCCAAACACAATTAAAAACTGGGTATAGAGATAATTCGAGTCTTCACCCCCGCAATGTTTCATTTCGTTTTAGGATAAAAAGCAGAAAGCCGTAATTCCACGCCAAACTATGCATGACAATCCCCGCAATTTAAGACCTTGACCAGACAGAGCGGCAACGAGCCAATGGCCACCCGAAGAGCCCGCGCCCCAACACTGCGCATCTGAACAGAGATCTCTTCTCCCCTGGAATAAGAATATCTGCACAATCCAGAACAGAGAAGCGATTCTGCGCATGATGGTCCTGAAGTCCAAGTGCTCCCACCAACAAAGTTGACATCCTCGTCTTCACACTGCAGCCACTGGGCTTGTCCAGAAGCTTAGCGGCCAAAAAGCAACTATAAGTTCTGACACCATCGCTTTGATTTGAGCCGAAGTTATGATCAACCAGATTGACTTGCCATGGTTTTTCCTGCTTTGTTTTCTTCTTCTTTACTCTGTTCAGGGCAAAGTAAGGTTTGGACCTGTGTTGGGTTTGGATTGGACACTGCAAATCTTTTACGTACTCCAGCGTAGGCATGTCTCCGGGCTACGCAGCAAACAGTGGTTTAGGGACTTCGTCTCAATTGTTGGGTTCGGCACATTTGATGCCTCCTCGGCTATGGCTGCGCTGTGCTGCGTCTACCTGGAGTAACGATCACGGAGCAGAAGCAGAAGAAGAAGAACGAGCGGATAGAAGATGGACGAAAGTAGTTCATTCATCTGAATCGAATATGGATGAAGGTTCATTCATCAAACTTCATTCGTTCAATGCCCACCAAGATTGGCACGGTGTTTTTTTTTTAATGAATTTCTTATTCTAGGGTTGTCCTTTGTTGAAGCAACTGTTACCTAGCGACCAATGCACTGTATTACTTCTTTTGCCCATGCGTCGTATGTCGCTCATAAAAACTTTTGCGATTGAAATATTTGTCAGAGGTTGACACACTCCTCCTTTGGAAAAATTCAAATTTCGATAAAATAATGTTTAATTGGAATAGGCATTAATCAAAAAAGGACGTCCTTTTGAAGAAATGCAATATATTCATTTTTACTTGTGACTATTTTTAATGGTATTTCTGAAAGTATTGTAAGAGAAACAATACTGGAATGCAATAATTATGAGTGAGTTAAATTCAAAAAAGAATAGCTGATGTCAGTGGGAGAAATGGTTGCGGAATGGAGATGAGGAGATTTAATGCGGGCTTACAAGAGGGTCAATAGATTCTCTCCCAAATTTATACCCCCTTACCACCCACACCATAGAGAAGAAGAATAATCGATAAACTTGGAAAAGAGCTTGACTAATGTTCACTACATGGGCAGCGGAGCATTGAATATAACCATAAATGTATTACACATTATGACATAAAGGGGGGGGATGTGAAACATTTTGTCTCCTTGCAATCATAAATCCCTTTAGAAAACATCGTCTTCCTCCTCTTCCTTTTGCAAGATACATTCCCCTTGATAAATATATGTAGAGGTTTTTTAAATTCATAATACTTTTTCGTCAATTATTTTCATTCTCATTCTCCTACCCCAGTAACCATCTAATGAAACTTGCAATAGTAATCCAGTGAACACTGAGCACGATGAACGATAACACATAGGGTAGTGTTTGTATATATATATATATATATATATATATATTATTAATCTATTTTCATTCTTGTTCCTATCAGTGGGGCATTTGGGACCAGAGAGAAATGGACCCCACACTCCCCACGGGATAACAAATGGATGAAATAAGCGGATGCACGACCTCATTCATCGAATACTAATCCAAACGCACTTATTCCATCTGCATAGTCCCCCAAATATGGCAGGAATAGTAAAAAGGTTGTAACTATTACAGTTAATTTTCGAAGTCTCACTCACTACAAACCCCCACCTCTCTCTCCGTGTGGGTGTGTGTGTGCAGACACTTCACCCACAAGCCATGTGTGCAGACAAGCCCTTATTCTCATCGACTCGGGGATGGAAACTTCCAGCAGCACGGGCAGGGTCACGAGGGTTTTGGGCCCAAAAGGCCTCCCCCGCCCATTCCTCCCAGGTTGCCAGGATGGCGTCGGCACGGGGGAGGAAGCTTCCTCCCCCTCCCAATGCTACCCACCTGGCGCGGGTTTAACTTTGACCAATGGAACTGACCCGCTCTGCATGAAAACAACTGTCACAAGTGGCAATCTCTCATTGGACAGATGGGTGTGGGTCAATTTCGCACGATCCATCGTCGTAAATTTTAATAATAAAATTAGTACCTTCCTAAGTAAACCAATACCAGCCTTTTCTCCCTCCAAGTTTCAAAAAAAAAAGCTTTAAAAAATCACATTTTAAAAGTAAAAAGTAAAACTTTGTGTCATCTCAATGCAAAACTGTTGCCACCTGTTGCTTCTAGCATGTGTATTCCATGTATATTTGCTCATACTTTTTTACTTTTCACATCTTTATTTACTTTTGTGATCTTATCAACCCAGTTAAGATTTATGCTTTATAATTGTGTGTGTGTGTGTGTGATGTGTGTGAACTCACATACATGTGGATATTTCTTCAGCAGAGTGAGAAGGATCTGGATCCTCGGTTATTATTCGTGGGTGTTGAATATACATTGAGACGTGCTTTTCAAGAGGAGAATTTGAAGGAAATCTGGAAAGAATTCTCTTGAGCCGCACTTTTTGGTCTTAATTGTCTGTACATTCAAGAATGTAAAGTTTATGAAACAATCTGATAATTAATTTTAACTCTTTACGTTAGGTGGGTTCATTCATAATTCTTATTCTCATTTAATAAAATTGTGAAAGCTGTTATTTTTTTATTTTTTAAATCCAATAACTAAAAAAGGAAAATAGATTCCATTGAATATAGGTTTCAATGTTCATAAATTTCTGGTTGGGTTCACATGATTAAAATATTAAATGATCATGTTTGAAATTTGAATTTGTGGTTCGAAAAACACATACATGCACATAAGGATGGTCTAAAATGTTTTTGAGATTAGTTTTACAATTTTTTATTAATTCATACAATTCTATTCTGGATTATTCATGTGATAACCCTTGTCTAAAATAAAATTGATGCATGTGATTATAATCTTGACACACACTGTTTAAATGTACTGTTTGGAATTTCTAAGTTTACAATATTAAAACTTGGTTTTAGGCACAAAAAATGCAAATTTCATTTTTGGTTTTGTAAACATTTATGAACTTGGTTGTATGAACATTTTTGTTTTTATTTTTGTAAGAATCTTAATTATTTTCTTTGATGCCACAAAAAATCTATGTAAAAACCTCATATAGAGGATATTGACTGTTTAGTTTGAAAAGGGTGTGTTTTTTTAAATAAATAATAAGAAAAAATAATAATGTCTTTTCTTTTGAAATAATGATGTCTGTTTAGAAGCAGAGATTGTACATCATGTACACATATATTCAAACCAGCACACACCTCTCTTTTTTCTAAGTTTTTATATATATATATATATATATATACATACATACATAGCTCATGTCTTTATAGTTTTTGCTATTGCCACCATAACCATCAATACCACATGTCACCTTTGCCCAATATGTGCCAAAGCATTTGATCAAATAATGTTTTTGATTGGAATAAAAATAACTAAGAAATATTTTGAGTGGATTGCAGGTTGTGGTGGCATTAGCAATGCCCTCTATATATGTACACTTTGTAATTGAAGGTTTTCAAGAAATAATATTAACAAAATGAAAAAATACAGAATATTATACATCATAATTTCTGCAAAAGATGTTTTTAATACCTAAATATTCTAAC